CAGGAGCATTGTGAGTTCAAGCCCAGCCTGGGCAATTTAGTGACTCAGCAATGTAGTGAGACACTTATCTCAAAACGGATCTAGAGCTCAGCTCAAAGTCCTTGTGTCCAGTTTTCAGTACTAGCAAACAACAAAGCAATTTTGGAATCAGGGAATGGGGTACAGGCTAGAGTTTGGAGGTACTGGGCCCTGAAAAGAGACCAGAGGGCAATTCTGGTGAAGGCTCAGAGGAAGAGGGAGCTTTGGAGAAACCCTCAGTCTTAGAAATTACTCAAGAAGTTATAATCAGAACCTGGATAGAAATATGGAGAGAGAAGACCATTCTGATGAAGTCTTAGCAGACAGTGAGTGAAGATGTTAATGGAACCTGGAGGTCATTCTTGTAATGAAGTGCCCAGTAATTTGGCTGACCATGTTTGTATCCTAGTTTTCTGTGGAGACAGAATTTAAGGACAACAAAATGGATATGTGGTGACAAAATCTCTAACAGGATATTGAAGTTAAAGCATGGCTTCTTTCACCTGTTTATGATAAAATTTAAGAAGAAAAAAATGAACTAAAATATTTCTATAATCAAAAGGGAAGTTGAGCCTAGTAGCACAGGACTGTCACCCTATCTACTGAGGAAGCTGGGTTCAATCTCGACTGCCAAAAGAAAAGGGGGAAGCAGAGTTTTTAGAAAATTTTCAGCCTGGCCACCTTAAGAATGTGAACAAGGGAGCTGGGGATTTAGCTCAGCGGTATAAATGCCTGCCTTGCAAGCACGCAGTCGTGGGTTTGATCCCCGGTACCGATAAACAGGAAAAAGACAAAAACAAACAAACAAACAAAAAAATTGAAAACACTTGTTCAGGAACCACCAAAAGATGTTTATAAAGTAAGTTAGTGTGTCTAGAAGGAAGCCAGATGCTATCAATCAGAACATAGGAGACTCCAGGTGTGGTGGTGGCACATGGCTGTAATCCCAGCACTTGGGAGGCTGAGGCAGGAGGATTGTTGTGAGTTCGAGACCAGCCTGGGCTACAAAGTGAGCTCAAGGCCAGCCCAAACTACATAGGGAGACCCTGTCTCAAAAAAAAAGACAAAACAAAATGAGAGATTCACAAGGTGCTTTGGAGATCTTTGAGTCTGTCATTCCAATCACATTCCCCAAGAGCCAGGACCTTGAGGTAGAACAATTTCAAAGAGAGGCCCAGAGCACCCAGGGAATCACAAGAATTAGTGCTCAGGAACTCCCTCAGGGTTCTGCTCTACGCATTCTCCTGTGATGCAAGAGGGCCCAAGGGCAGTTCGTTCTGCAACTCCAGGATGAACTGGAGGTGGCTGGCCTTGGTGGCATCCACACAATGCCATCTCCATGGGTAGGCCGAGTATGTAAGCTATGGGAGCATGATTACTTCTAAATCACCCTGGTTTTTTGTTTTTGTTTTTGAGACAGGGTTTCACTATATGGTTCATACTGGCCTTGAACTCACTATGTAGCCCAGGCTAGCCTTGAACTTGTAGGCTCCTCCTACTTCAGCCTCCGCAGTCCTGGAGTTACAGGTATGTGCCAACAAGTGTGGCGGGAGGATGTAGCTCAGTATAAAAGCTCTGGTTCCATCTCCAGTACTGAATAAAAAATTAGATGACATATCAATATGTAAACCCCATTATGCAAAAATAAGTGCTTTTTAGAATTTGGGCAAGGCCTATAATCTCATGTAATTTCATTTTTTATTTTTTATTGAGATACATATAGTATTTTTTTAAAACAATACTGAGGACTGAACCCAAGACCTTTGTGTTAGGAGAACACAAATGTAGGAGCTCAGCAGATCAGGCTTATTTCAGAATAAACCTGAGAGGGACTGCTCTAGCACTTAGATCAGTAACTCTTACCCAGGCTATACAGCCTTTTATAAGATCATGAGCATTAAAGAAAAGAAGGAAGAGGTCAAAATGGGACTCTGCAGGGAGAGAGTGTGGTGAGAAGGAGTTGTGGCTTTCTGCCAGGGACGAGGCTTGAGAAAGTACAGGGGATGGTGATTGCCTGTTGGGAGCAGAGCTGAAAAATGCAATGGGCATTCTTGGGGTGTAGTAATGTTACTGGGCCTTATTAACCCATGATTATACATGCAGGTATAAAAGCATGGCAGGATGGAAGAGGCTCAAAGTAGTCTCTAGTCAGCATAGCATGGCAGGTGTCAGACTCCTTCACTTTGCACTGAGCTACAATCCCCGCCCTTTTTCTGTTTTTGTTTTGTTTGTTTGTTTTGAGACAAGGTCTTGCTATGTGGTTCAGTGTGGTACTGAACTCACTATGTAGCCCAGGCTGGCCTTGGCTACTTATGGTGATCCTCCTGCCTCAGCCTCCTGAGTGCTGGGATTATAGAGGTGGGCCATTATGTCTGGGCCCCCCACCTTTTATTAGATTTTGGGATACAGTTTCCAAAATTCTGATCTTCCAGATACAGAGCACTGGATTATATGCTACTGAAATAGGGGAATGAAACTCCCCACCCACTATATGTCCAATACAAATTCATGTTCTCTAAAATCAAAGAATAAATTTTAGGAACAACGGAAGTTAAGAGCAAAATATGTTTATTGAGAGAAAGAAAGCTTCTGTCTGAAGGACAGAAAGGATCTCAAGGGGGTTCCTTTTCTAGGAACATTGTTTTTCTTTTTTTGGTACCAGGGATCAAACTCAGGACCATGCACTTACAAAGCAGGCGCATATGCCGCTGAGCCAAATCCCCAGCCTCTCTAGGAACTTTTATAAAGTAAAATCATGGGGTGAGATGGTTCAAGGTATCTGGGCTTCTGCACTGGCTCCTTTGAGTACCTAGCTCTGTCTCACTGCCTATAATATTGCAAACTAACTCAGCTGCCTATAACACTACAATTCACACATCATAAAACTCTTTCCATTACAGAGTTGCTGGGGGGTGGGGACCAATCAGAGCCTCAGATATCTGTGGGGAGCAAAGAAAGACAAAGGATGAATTTCAAGGTACAAGGAGACCAGGAGGAACCAAACTGTAGTGGACAGGCACAATAATCTCTCACTTTTATTTATGAGCTAGGATAGAATAAGTCCTTCCCATATCAATGTATCTGTCTTCCTTTGATTGTCCTCAGCAGATGTCATCTTGCCTTTTGAACTTTCTCTGCACAGCCAGGAAGCGTACAGCCTTCCACACACTTCTCTGTTCCTAAAGCACATCACATAGGCCAAGGAGGCCCAGAACCCCAGTTAATCTGGTCCCTAGCATAGTAAAATATTATTTTCACATCCCCTGGTTCCCAACACAAAGTGTACAACTGAGTAGTTTTTAACATATTCATGAAGTTGTATGATCATCATCATTATCTAATTCCAGAACATTTCATCACTTTGAAACGAAATCCTAGCTGGGCACTGTGGCACATATCCCAGCATTTGAGAGGCTGAAGTAGGACTGCCACAAGTTCAAGGCCACCCTGAACTACATAGTGAGAACTTATGACACAAAAAAAGAAATGCTATGCCCTTTAGCGACCATCTCCTCCCCACTTGGTAATTCCCCCTCTCCTTGGCAATCACTAATCTACTTTTTGTCTCTATAGACTGACCTATTCTGGGCATTTTATTTAAATGAAATTATTCAACACATGACCTTTTTCACAAGCCATTTTAAGGTTTATCCACATTGGAGCACATACCAGTATTTCATTTGGTTTATGGATGAAGATTACATTTTATGGATATACCACTTTTTGTTTATCCATTTATTGGTTACTGCACACATGGGTTATTTACAATTTTGGCTAGTATGAATAAGGCACCTATTAGCATTTGTGTATTAGTTTATATATGAACATATATTTTGAATCGTTTGGGGTATACACCTGGAAAGGGAATTCCTGGGTCATGTGATAACCTTATGTTTAACTTTTTTGAAGAATTGGCGAACTTTTCCACAGCATCTATACTCGCTCACATATCTACTAGCAATGTACCAGGGTTCCAGTTTTCTTCTCCTCATCCTCACTAACTCTTGTTTTCTTTCTTTCTTTTTAAAAAATTCCACCTGTGTTAGCAGGTGTGAAGTGGTATCTCATTGCGGCTTTGATTTGCATTTCTTTTATGACTAATGATAGTGAACATTTTTTTCATGTTCTTTTTGGTCATTTCTTTTTTGGGAGGGGTTTGAGACGGTCTCACTGTGTAGTTCAGGGTGGCTTTGAACTCATGGCAGTCCTTTAGCCTTAGCCTCCTGGGTGCTGGAATTATAGGCAAGCGCCACCACACCTGTCTGCTTCTTGGTCATTTCTATATCCTCTCTAAAGAATTGTCTGTTTAAAACTTTTGCTCATTCAAAAAAATAGGTTAAAGGATAACGCGGGGAGTGTGTGGCTCAGTTGTACAGCATTTACCTAGACTATATGAGGCCATCAATTTGATTATCAGCACCAGAGAGAGAGAGAGAGAGAGAGAGAGAGAGAGAGAGAGAGAGAAAGAGAGAGAGGTTGTATAGATATTTTTGTCAAGTTATTCAAGTTTCTTATGTGTTCTGGATACCAGTGACTTATCAAATATACGGTTTACAGATATTTTGTTCCATTCTGTGGATTTCAGCTTTTAGTTACCATTTTGTAACATGCTTTTTCTTTAACATGGGCATCTTTCAATGTCAAGAAAAAGCTACCTCCTTTCTCTCCCCATGTATCATTTTTTCCCCTCCATTCTTTTTTGTGGCTACACAACATTCCATTCTGTTTGTACACTGTTATCTTGATCAATCCACCACTGGGCTCTAAAGCGCCTTTACTCAGCTGGGGAGCTGGCAAGAGACTAGATGAAGCTGCTGCTGAACAGAAGCTCTCTTAGATGATGTGAAAATGCAAGCGGGCACAGGAAATGTCTTTAACCTGCTTATACTTCCTCTCTGAACCCATGTGGTTTCACAACCCCTACAGGCACACTCCTCTGTCCCCTCCTCCCACCCAGTGTCATCAGCCAGGCAGCTCTGTGAGAAAGTTCCATTCTAAGAGGCCCCTGAGCATTGTCATTTCCCTCTTCCACCCTGTCTGGGTTATCAGTAAACCCAAAAGGCCCTGTGAGGCCACACTTGGGTCCTCCTGTGTGGGTAAGATGAAGAATTCCCGCATCATCATAACGAGGCTTCTTCTGCTGTCTGGAACTTTTCTCTTTGGTAAGAAAAGGGGAGGGTAAGGGAGAGGACGTCTGTCCGTGACCAGGGAAACTGCAGGGTTTTGTGAAGCTGGAGAAAAGGTGGGACTGGCCATAGGTGATGTGAGGTCCAGAAATCCTGGGAGGAGAAGTGGAAAATGAAACAGAAAGGAAGCTAGAGCCCACCCTGTAGGCAAAATGTAGAGGCCATGCATGAGAAGGTAGTGCATGCCTGTAATCCCAGCACTCACAAGCCTGAGGCCAGAGGACTGCTGCAAATTCAAAGTCAGCCTGGGCTACACAAGTAATTTCAATCCCAGTCTGAATTACACAGCAAGATCCTGTCTCAAAAAGACAAAAAAAAAACAAAACAAAACAAAACAAAACAAAACAAAAAACCAATGTGGAGGCAAAGTCAGAGAAGGGAGAGAAAGATAGAGTAGTATGGGGGGGGGTGTATATTCTTAAAATTTAAGGCAAATAGGCCAGGTGTGGCAGTGTGCATCGGCAGTTCCAGTACTCTGGAGGCTAAGCCAGAAAGATCAAAAGCTCAAGCTCAGTTTGGGCAATTTAGCCAGAAGGTGTCTGAACAAATGATGGTATTGACATCCCTGATATCCCATGGTGCTATGAACCAAGTCCAGTGCATGGAACAACAGGCGGGCCAGAAAGTACAGTCTGGAAGTTTCATATGATAGCCAGGCTGAGATGGAAAGTAGACTCAGGCAGATCTGAGATCTAAGGGTTCAGATTCTGGAAAAGAGAGACCCTTCGAGGAGGCGGGGTGGGGGGAGCAATGAGGGTTAACCTTCAGTGAGTGAGCAGGCAGCAGGGGCCAGGGGGCTGCACGTTTGGATTCTGAGAGACTGGGCCCCATGACCACAGAAGAAGTGGGTGTGGGACAAGATGCAGTCTGCTCAGGGGCACCCTCATCTGGGTTCCTGTCTGGGGACCTGGCCACCAACACCTCTAGGCCTCTTCTGTCTGCTCCGTTCTCATGGGTCTCTTTGACCTTTCTTTCCTTGCTAAGAGGCCAGAGAAAAGTTGTGTGCCCTTGTGCTCAGGAAATCGCTGCCAGAGCCCTGGGTGTGGCAGGGGCTGTGGCTCTCTGGCTGAGGTCCTCACTTAGCTTTGCCTGCATGGCCTTGAGTAGTGCATGTCCCCCGAGGAACATGGGCCAGGTGTGCCATACTAGGTATGGTGGTAACTGGGGTCACAGCAGGTTCTCCAGCCAGAAGCAGAAGTAGTTGACCACTCTTACCTTCCTCAGAGCCAGCCTCCAGCTACAATCTGGATGTGAAGGAGGCCCAGAACTTCTCCTTCCCTCATGCCGGGAGACACTTTGGGTACCGCGTCCTGCAGGTTGGAAATGGGTGAGCTGTTGTCCCTCCACGGTCCTTGCCCAGCAGATGCACGAGCCCCAGCCCAGTGAACACCTGGCCTAACTTCCCACTGCTCGGTCAGTGAGCCAGGCAGACCTCTGCCTGGAGGAGACTGTAGGTGGAAATGTTCTAGAAATAAGAGGTAGGCTGTAAAATGATAGGATGGGATAGTGGGCAAGGCAACGCCGTAAGTGCCTAAAAGGAAGTATCACAGCCTCTGAAACACCCCGCATCACACCTTAGTTTCTTGATTTTCCTTGGCCACAACTATGAGCTCCCTAATGGCAGAGACTTTATCCCTGGTGTCTTCCTAGTGTATACCCCAGCCTAGCTCATAGCAGGTGAGCTGTCAGTGGTTTTTGAATTAAAGGCTGACTGAATGAACTCATGATGTGACCTGCTGGCAGAGTCTTTTAGCCTGAAGTTTTCTAAACTGTAAATGGACCAGGTCCGTTGATTTTCTAGAAGTCTGGCATACAGAGAATTATTTCTCTAGGAATCAGGAAGACAAGATATGGGAGCTGAGGAATCTCCCCAAAGGAACGAGCTGCGTTATTTAAAATACTTGGTGGGACTGGGTGTGGTGGTGCACACCTCTGATCCCAGCATTCGGGAGACTGAGGTGGGAGGATCACTGAAACTTCAAGGCCAGCCTGGGCTATCTAGTGAACTCAAGACCAGTTTGAACTACACAATGAGACCCCAGGTGGGGGGACCCAAAAGCAAAACAAACAAACAAAAAATACTTGATGGGGAGTCCGAAGCTCTATAATAAACTGGAGTGGTGGGTAAAGCCTGGGGCAACTCCATCTCAAGTGGGATTTCTCATCAGGGTTGTTGTGGGAGCCCCAGGTGAGGGGAACAACACAGGAAACCTCTATCAGTGTGAGCTCCGCAATGGAATCTGCCGGCCAGTCAGCCTGGGTGGTGAGTAGCTGGTGGGCGTGGGCTCTCTTGGAAATCAGGGTGGGTGCCTGCTCTCCTGGATTGCCTAAATTCTTTTTTTTTTTTTTTTTTTTTGGTCTTTTTCCTTTTTATCGGTACTGGGGATCGAACTCACGACTGCCTGCTTGCAAGGCAGGCGCTTATGCCGCTGAGCTAAATCCCCAGCCCCGCCTAAATTCTTTCAGACCAATCTTGTGTTGCCTACAGGTTTCAACTATACTTCCAAATATTTGGGAATGACCTTGGCAACAGACCCCATAGACGGAAGCATTTTGGTAAGAATTTTGTGTACGGCCACAGTTATAAAACGGTAAAGCCAGGATTTCAGTCAAATTTTCAGTTGATTTCTAATCCATTGCACTTTGCTGTTATTGCCAGCTAGAAGCCTTCTGACACAAGCATGTGAAAGATAAATTACCTGAGTAAAATTCTGATGGATAACATTTAATTGTAGCTTATTTACTTAGCTACCATTACATATCAGACAATGTGCTAGTTCTAAAGAGGTAAGGAGAATGAAATACAAAAATGATCATGATATAAGCTGTGTCTCAAATTACAGTCCGACAGGAAACATAGACACAATGAAAGAAACACCACTCTATATTCTGAGAATAGTGAGTTTTTATCTGACGAACACAGAATGTATGATTGGGAATGGGAAAGGATGTCCCAACAATGTGGATTTTATTCAATTATGAACAGCATGAATCCCAAACTGAGAAGTTTAGACTTCATGCATAGGTGGTGGTGAGCAGCCATTGGCATCAAGCATTGGCATCAGGGACAGAGAGGGGGTAGGAGAGACCTTATGGAGGTAAAATTGTCATACCTGGGAAGAGAATCATTACTAGGCAGCTCACTGCACGTTTGCAAATTCTGTACCAGTATAAAGCGTTAAAGATACAAAGTTTAGGGAAAGGAAGATATTTTATTGGACACTTTATTGGAAAAGGGTATAAAGGAGGAGATAGCTACCCTAATAAATAAGGGTGGGGGGCCTAGAAAAATGGAGGTCCCTCATCCTCAGTCCTTTTTATTAGTGTGACAGAAAGACTTCCCCCCTTGGAGTTTGTTACAATATGATTTTAGGCCCTGGGATCCTCCATCACCTACATGCAGATTTCTAAGTGAGTTTTATTTGGTTTTCTTTGTCCTGTTAGGCTCTATCGCTGAAATTTATGGATCTGATACATAAGGGAAACATAGCAAGAGAATAAAAGACAGACAGACAGACAGACAGGTAGATAGATAGATAGATAGATAGATAGATAGATTGATCCAGTATACTAAGTGAGATTTTTCCTGGTGCTAGCCACCTCCCCCTTGTCTCCTTTGTACTTTACTGCACAGTGGGTGAGGAGGGGCAACAAATTTTAGCTTGACAGAGCGGCTCATCTGCTTTCTGGTTTCCCCTCTTAATTGCTCCCTGTGGTGAGGGTTTAACTCTTTCTAGTCAGGATTTGCCAGGAAAGCACAGTGGTCCTTCAACATTATTTTCCTGCCTGTTTGTCCTTTTTTTCTTACATTTTACCTTGCTTTGAGCCATTCAGATGTAGGCAGTGAAATAGGAGGACAGGATTCTGAAGAGTCTTGTGACTAAGAGACACAGCCTCAGCGTAGTGGCACACACCCATAGTCCAAGCTCTTGAGGACGCTGAGGCAAGAGTATCTCAAGGTCATGTCAGTAGGTAACTGTCTCAGAAAAATAAAAAGGAGCCAGGTATGGTGATGCACAACCATAATCCCAGCACTCTGAGAGTCTGAGGTCAGGAAGTTTGCAAGTTTGATCCCAGTCTGGGCAATTTACCAACTCATTAAGACCCTGTCTCAAGATAAAAAATAATAAAAAGGGCTGAGGATATAGCTCACTGTAAAAGCCCTGGGGTTAATCTAGCACTAGGGGAAAAAAGAAGGAAAAAAAAGCTGAAGATGTAGCACAGTGGTGGAATATCCCTGGGTTTGAGCCCCAGTTTCACCAAAATAAATAAATACATAAATAAAAATAAAAACAGATAGCAAGAAGAAGCTTAACCTTTTTTTCCTTTTCTTCCTTCAGGCCTGTGACCCTGGACTGTCTCGGACATGTGACCAGAATACCTATTTGAGTGGTTTGTGTTACCTCTTTCCCCAGAATCTGGGGGGACCTGTGCTTCAAGGACATCCTGGTTATCAGGGTAAGGAGCTGGAGTCCCGCTGGTAACATACCTCTGAGGAGCTGCCCCTGCATGGGAACCAGCTGGGGAGGCCACGCTGGGAGGCTTTCACCAGGTTCTTGTGCCTCTGGGTTTCCACAGAATGTATAAAGGGCAATGTTGACCTCGTATTTCTGTTTGATGGCTCAATGAGTTTGCAGCAAGATGAATTTCAGAAAATTGTGGACTTCATGAAGGATGTGATGAGAAAACTCAGCAATTCTTCTTACCAGGTAAATGTGCTAGTCAGGAGCTTCAGTTGCAGGCAGTAGATGCCTACCTGAACTGGTTTAAGTCATTAAAGAAAAGTTTAGCATGCTAGATGTCTACTATGGTTTATGGGTAACTAAACTTCTGGAAGGGACAAGAACCAGGGAGTAGGAAGCTTCAAGCATTCTCAGAGTTTTATTTTCCGTTTTGTCTTGAACTTTTGCTTCCCTCTTTCATGGTTTCTCTGTAAACTGGTTCCCTTCACTTCTTTGGATCACATGAGCTTGTGGGATGCTCCTAAGTCATGTGGTAGCATTCCAGAAGGGTTTTTTGAAATTTTTTAAACCTTCCTGTCAACCAGCCCCTCCTCTACAAATCAAAACGTCTCAGAAAAGTGATTCTGACTGTTCTAGCCTGTATCAAATGACCATCCCTGGCTCAGTCAGCTGTGTCATTCCACAGAAATAACTGTGCTGGGCACCACGCTTACAAGTAGAGAAGATAGGTTCTGAGAACAGGAACTTAGCATGCAACTCACTAAAAGAAAGCAGAGATCTATTTATTTCTACATTTATCTGTATATTGCTTCATTTTCAAAAAGAATAAAGCAGGGATGTGGAGTTGGATTTCCCCGGTCCCCGCCTAAAGCAGAGATGGGAGAAGCCAAGTAAGAAGGGATACATAACTGCATGCTCTTCCTTCTCTTTCTAGTTTGCTGCCGTTCAGTTTTCCTCAACTTACAAAACAGAATTTAACTTCTTGGATTACGTTAAATCAAAGGACCCTGATGTTCTGCTAGCCAAAGTCAAGCACATGCGCTTGTTGACCAACACCTTTGGGGCTATCAACTATGTTGCGTGAGTTCTCTTTGTGGGAGAGAGCATATTTGTTATCTGTTTTTTGGAGCTACCTACCTCTATGTACACAGTGTAGAAATTCATTAGTTACAATGAGGGGCAGTTTATTGACTCAATTAAAGTATAGTGATTTTTATCCAGTTTCTTTCTTTCTTTCTTTCTTTCTTTCTTTCTTTCTTTCTTTCTTTTTCTTTCTTGATAAGGAGGAATGAGCTCATGACCTTGCTACTTGCCATGCAGGTGCTTGTCCCTCTGAGCTATATCTCTGGCCCTTAATCCAGTTTCTTTCGGTTGTAAATAATAGAAATCTAGTCCACCTAACTAAATCTGGAGGGAAATTCTTGTTTTGAGTCTTGCTGTGTAGCTTAAGCTTGTTTTAAACTCATTATACAGCCTAGGCAGGCCTCAAACTCACTTTGTAGCCTAGGCTGGCCTGGAATTTGCAGTGATCCTCCTGCCTCAGCCACCAGAATGCCAGGATTACTGGCATGTACCACTACACCTGGCTTGGAAGGAAATTCTTGAGAGGATTCAAGGATAGCTCATGAACCCTTGAGACAGGATGTATTTCTAGGATTTATGAAGAACTAGTACCAGGATTTAGAAAATGATGTGAGCTACAGCAGCCACAGGAGCAATACTTAGATGGGAATCAGATTTGGAATTCAGCATACAAAGAATAACCTCAAGTACTCAAAGTATCCTTGAGCAATTTATTGGAATTATTCATAAAATTAAATCTACTCAAGCTCCGTATTGGAAACTAGTGTGTCCTGATTTCCTAAATCCAATACAGAAAAGCTTCCCCTAGAATTGGATCAGATCGCCATGTTCAGTTGCAGCCTTGATGAAAGTAGTCAGATTGCACTGGTGGGACCATATATTTGGCAATGGCAAAATTTACTTGAAAAACTTGAAAAGTGAGAGAGAAACTGGCTCTGGAGGGCAAGTTTGGCCCGAAGAAAAGAGGAAAAAGCAAGATAAAAGTACATCCTGGAGGAAGCAGGGTGGGCTGTCTTGAGGAAAGCCACATAGCCCATGTTGTATATTTTTAAAGTATTTACATTTAACCGTCAGAGTGACTATGAGATCTGAGACTGATTAGGAAGTTTCTGTCTCCTGTCTTAGCACATGTTCCCTGGGCACACACTCAAGTTGAATAAAATATCAGGAAGAATTTCCTACATCAGTTCACTGATTTTTCTCATTTTCATTTCTTCGCCAAGCATGTTGAATTTGCATTTGGTAAACAACACCCAGTGCCCCTCTTCAGAAATTTCCAGCTCTTTTCTGGTGAGGCTCACTTGGTTTAGCATGTCCATTTCATTCTCTTTCTGTAGACAGCCACATTGGGTGCACAGTCAAGCCATGTCGCCCCAGAATCGGCAGCCTCAGTTATGAAGTTAGATGAGCAACCTTAATTCCTGTTTCTAGGGGGAAAAATCCACCATCCATCCAGCTGTGACCTGGATCTGCATGGTGGTATAGGGTCCTGTGGCACAAATACGGGTGCTGGAACCCCAATTCTGTGAAGTTCTCCTCTACGTTCTCAAGAAAGAGGTCCCCACAAGATAAGAAGGGACTAAAGGGTGTCATTGTGACAGCAGGAAAAGGCAGTTATAGAAATACGTGTCACCAATGGCCATCTGACTTTGTGCAAGGCTGTATTCTAGGTCAAGAATCAAAAATCTATTTCTATAAAATATCAGTGAAGATTTTAGACTTTTCTGACCATTTATTGCGTGTTCTTCTTTGTTGGATTTTATAGTTTTTTGAAAAGACTTTTGAAAATAATCTTTGAAACCTCTTTTGGCTTATAGACTATACAGAAACAAGCAGTAGGCTGGACTCAGCTGACGGGTTTTTGTTTTCATTTCGTTTTGCCATATTCTAAGTATGGAGAACATAGCACTGAGTCAAACTAAGATTTCTCCTCCTTGAAATTTAATGTTTTAGTAGGGGACAGAAACTTAATAAACATTACAAATAAGTTAGATAATGCAGAAGATGATTTTATAAAGAAAACTAGAGCATTATTCAGTAGGAAGATCAGAAAGGGTTACTTCTGAGCAGAGTTCTTGGAGCTAAGGAACTGAGACATGCAGAGGGGGCCAGGTAAACACAGAGTCCAGTTATGAAGCTGAAAACTTCAGATGAGGGATGATGGAGTTAGAACCACGTAGAAATTCTTGAACAGCCCATGGCAGACCCATGTCTGCGTAAACAGAAGTTGGGGGAACATTTAACATCCAAGAGAGAACCAGAGACACCCAGTGTCTGTGGATCAGATGGTCCACACAGAGCTCCTGTCTCAGCAGGAGCTGTGGGCAGCATGGCTCATGATAGGGCAGGAATGTGGCCTTGGCCTCTCCGGTATCCCATCATCCCTTTTTTTTCTTTATTTCACATGCACTGAGCACGTGTTTCGCCAGGAGCCAGAGATACAGCAGTGACTGAAGCATGGTCCTTTCCATGAGCATTTCATTGTTTGGAGGAAAATGATAGAAACATGTCAGTAAATTCGCTAGATTAATTGATGCAGACAGCCTAAAAGTGGCAGGGAAAGGGAGGAAATGCTTGCTGTGAGAGAGTGACTTTCAGGTTTCTATGGTTGTGAAACCTTATGCTCTCACTGAAGACTCACCTGGATCAATATCCCTAACTACTGTGTTGCTGTGTGTTTAGAATAGACAAAGCCAGGAGTCACCCTCACAAAACCCTCTCTTTGCTGCCCATAAACTCTGGGACACTCTCCAGGCTGCCCAGCACGAAGACTAAAAATATCAGTCTTAGTTAAGACTTCTTTTTCTGTTTCTTTTTTTTTTTTCCCAGCTAAGAATTCTATCTTTTTGTTTGGTTTGGTTTGGTTTGGTGGAGGGGACTGGGAATTGAACGCAGGACCTTGCTCTTGCCAAGCAGGTCCTGTGGCGCTGAGCTATATCCCTGGCCTAAGAATTCTGTCTTGTTTGTCTGTTTGTCTATTTGTGTGTCTATTGAGACAGGGTCTCATTATGTAGCTCAGGCTGGCCTTCAACTCACTGTGTAGCTCAGGCTGATCTCAAACTCACAGCATACCTTCTGCCTCAGCCTCCCAAGTGCTGGAATCACAGACATATGCCACCACACCCATCTGAGCTAAAAGTTTTAGAGAAAGTCCAAAGGAAAGGGCAGTAGCAAGCACACGTGAGGTGAGAGGCGCAGGAGAGATTGCTGAAGGCTCGGGATGCCTGCCTGGGAGATGCGAGAAGGGCCTTACATCCCTGGCAGGGCAGCAACTTAATGAACAGGGAGATGGCGAGATCTCAGGCCCTGCTTCAGGACAGCCTCCATCTTCCTTGCCTGGACGCAGGAAAGAGGTGTTCCGGGAAGAACTGGGGGCCCGGAGAGATGCCACCAAAGTGCTCATCATCATCACAGATGGGGAGGCCACTGACACTGGCAATGTCGACATGGCCAAAAACATCATCCGCTACATCATTGGGGTAAGGGCTGCCCCTCGTGTCTTATGTTCCCTTTCCTACTCCCGAGCCCCTGTTCCTTTCTCTTTGGGCCAAGGTCTTGTAAAAATGATCAAAAACTGGTCTGAAGATTTGGGGTACACCAGCTCTTCACTCTTCACTCCCTTACAGATTGGAAAGCATTTTAAGAACACGCACAGTCAGCAGCAACTCCACCAATTTGCCTCAAAACCCACAGAGGACTTTGTAAAGATCCTGGACACATTTGAGAAGCTCAAAGATCTGTTCACTGAGCTACAAAAGAAGATCTATGTCATCGAGGGTGAGTGGCAGCCCTTGGGGAAGGTTGGGAAGGTGTTCAAGAGCTTATGCACGGGGCACGCCGAAGAGTAACGGAGTCTCTGAGTTACTCTGAGATAACCAAGTTATCTAAGCTCTGAGTATCTGACGCTCTGCTAAGAGCTCTCCTAGAAGGGAAAGGCAAAATGAAAATCTTAACCAAGAATTATGGAGAAGATGGCTTAGGGGCAGACTTAGATACAATATTTCTCCCTGCATCCATCTTCCTTTGGAGCACAGTATCTTGCTTGTGTCACCTTATCCCTGCAGAATGACTCTAATCACTTTCTCTTCTTGTCCAATCCCTCATTTTTGCTGAGGTGAGGCCCCAGTTTACTGAGGATGCGTGAGCTGACAGGGCCAAGTAAGGTGCCCACAGGCACCCTTCTGTGTCCGTAATGAGAGAAGGTTCTCAGGGCAGTCCCTGCAAAGAGGCTGGTTAGGAGGGGAGGCGCGAGGGATGCTTCCTCAGGCAGCCTCACTGGCTGCCAGGTATGCAATTCCTGCCCACAGCGGAGTCCCCTGGGCCAGGATTTAAGCTCAGTTGAAGATGCAATATGATATCTAGAATGGAACCAAATAGACCCGCTTAAGAAGCCGCTCAGCCTCTTCCTTGCTGTGTGGTCTCAACCAGGTTCCTTTTCGTTGTTGTTCTGGTGAGTATAATGCCAGTCTCACAGAGATGGAAAGTTTAACTGCTGTCTTAGTTCCCAAGGGCTGCTCTAAAAAATGCCAAAGACTAGGTAGTTTAAAGCAACTGAAGTGGGGCATTGTGGCATATGCCTGTAATCCCAGCACTCGGAAGGCTGAGGCAGGAGGACTGATGAAAATTCGAAGCCAGCCTGGACCATGAAGTGAGTTTAAGGCCAGCCTGAACTGCATATTGAAACCCTGTCTCAAAAGACAATTTAAAAAAGAGAGAGAGAGAAAAAAAAGAAAGAAAGAAAGAGAGAAAGAGAGAGACGGAGAAAAAGGAACTGAAATTTGTTGTCTCAACTTACTGGATGCTAGAAGACTAAATTCAAGGAATCAGCTGAGCCCCGTTTTCTTTTCTGACTGTTCTAGAAGGAAGCTCTCCCTTGCCTCTTTTGCTTCAGGTATTTGGTGATGGGTCTCGTGTCCTCCACTTGGAGGGATGCCATTCCAGTCACTTGGCTTCCTTGCCTGTGTCTCTTCACGTTGTCTTCCCTCCCTGCTTGCCTGTTCCCGTGTCCAAATTTCCCTCTTAATGAGAATACCAGTTATTTAGATTAGGACTTACCCTAATGACCTCTCTTAATTTGATTACTTCTGTAAAGACCATATTTCCAAATTAGTTCACATCCTGAGATATTAGGGATTAAGACATCAATGTATCTCAAGTAACCCAGTTTAGTAGGCTGGGGGTGGTGGCATATGCCTGTAGTCCCACCACTTGGGAGGCTGAGGCAGGAGGATCGCCACAAGTTTAAAGCCCACCTGGACACATAGTGAAACCCTATCTCAACAACAACAGTGCGCGCACACACACACACACACACACAACCCCAGCTTAATGAGGAGACTGGGACATTGTAGGCTTTCTGTAGGTAGCAACTTTCATCCTCTTCCTGATCTGCCCCATCCTCTCACTCTTGCTTAGATGTCACTTCTGATTAAATTCTCACTGCCAGTCCTGTGCTGTGCTGATAACCCTCACTGGTAACCCTGTGTGCTGCTGTAACTACCGTATGCTTCCTGTCACAGCCCCAAGGATGACTTGGACATTTATTTGTCATTTACTGGCTCCACACTGAGTGATGAGATCCATTGTGGCAACTCTTGTGCCTGCTTTTTCACCATTTGTATCCCTAGTGGCAGACACATCATTACTCTAAAATTTATTCAGTGAGTGAACAAATTATTAGATTTGCTATGTTTTTAAATACTTACTTTGTAAGGCTAATGCTATTATTTCTTTTTTCTTATTTTTTTTTCTTTTTGGGGAGGGCAAGGGGAGTGATACTGGGAACTGAACCCAGGGCCTTCACACTAAGCCACATTCTCAGCCTTTTTAAAAATCTGAGGCAGTTTCACTCAGTTGCCAAGACTGAGCTCAAACTTGTGATCCTCCTGCCTCAGCCTACCAGAGTGCTGGGGTCAGATGATCCCACCACCATGCCAGGCTTCCATTTTATTGATTTATTCTTTCAATAACCATGTACCAGGCTATGTAAATAAGATACTCAAAGATAATAAAAAGCAGAGCTCATATATTGGAAAAAGACAGCTAGTAAGCAAGTAAACATTATAATGAGAATTATATAGAGAATGAATAAAACAATGGGATGAAACTGAGGGGAGGAGGCTGGGCTGGGGTACAGCTCAGTGGAGTACACCTAGCCTCAGTGAAGGAGGTTACTTTTAATAGACTTTTTTTGGGGGGATCTTTTTGAAACAGGGCCTTACTATGCACTTCAGGCTGGCCTTAAGTTTACTTTATAGGGCAGGATGGTTTTGAATTTACAGTGATCCTCCTGCCTCAGCCTCCCGAGTGCTGGGATTACAGGTGTGCACCACCACACCCAAATAGGAAGACCTTTTTTTTAAATTTTGAAGGTAGTAAAATACAACAAAATAAGACAGAACAAAGCCAATCGAGACAATGCGGTGAAATTGGTACAGAACTTCAGAGCAGGATACCAGGATAACAGTCATAGGTACCGTGGTATATCTCGTTATCTTCACAATAGTTGTCCAATCATTCAGGTATAGCAAAATCAAACCAAAAACGGGACATTATAGAACCTATCAAAACAGAATATTGAATAAAACAAAACAATTAATCAGAACAAAGCAAAACAGTGAAAACAATATTTGCTCTCAAAGAGAAGATAAAAGGAAATCCCCCATATTTGCTATATAACATACGTAGAAAGATCTTTTTGGAATGAGCTTTTTTATTTTGTGTGTGTGCGCGTGTGTGTGTGTGTGTGTGTGTGTGTGTGTGTGTGGTACCCTGGCCTCAGGTTTGGTAGGTAGTACTCTGCCACTGAGCTATACCTCCAGCTTGAGACAGCATTATAAGATTTGAGATAAAATATGCGCTGATGACGTTTGAGCTGAAACATGAAAGGTTAGAGTCAAAGAGCCAGGTGAGGAATTCTAGAGAAGAGCATCCCGTCCGGAGGGAGAGAGAGCTCATGCAGAATCCAGGGAGAGAGGGCCATATCAGTGAAGAGAGGGGAGGGGAGGCTGGGAGAGAGGCAGCAGCCTTCAAAGCTCTCATAAAGGGTTGGCGGTCAGTGTACAAAGCAAGGAGAGGGCTGGGGATTTAGCTCAGCAGCACAAACGCCTGCCTAGAAAGTGTGAGGTGAGTTTGAACCCCGGAACAAAAAAAAAAAAAAAAAGCAAGAGGAAAAAATATTGACTTTTTAAGAAGGGAAAAGGGCTGGGGATTTAGTTCTGCGGCATAAGTGCCTGCCTTGCAAGTGCGTGGTCCTGCGTTCAATCCCCGGTTGCTCTGTAGAAAGAAAGCATGGGAAGAATGAACCAGAGAACAGATTAGTAAGCGACTGTACAAGTCAACTAGGGATGAGGGTGGCTCAGGCCTGCACGGTGGCGATACAGATTATTCAGAGAAGGGGACAGGTATCTCTTGAAGATAGAACCATCAGGATTTAATGATGTGTTACAGATAGGACAGAAAGGCAGGAAAGGATCAAGGTTGATTTCTGGTTTTTAGCTTGAGTCCTTAGAGGATACAAAGATGCCATTGGTGGAAGTTGGAGAGGCTGAGCAGGAACAAAAATCAAGAGTTATAGCCAAGCTTGGTGGCATATTCCTATAATCCCAGCTCTGGGAGGCTGAGACAGAAAGTTCACAAGTTTAAACCCAGCCTGGTTTTAGCAATTTAGCAAGATACCATCTCAAAATAAAAATTTTTTTAAAAACTAGGTGTGTAGCTCAGGGCAAAGGCCTTGAGTTCAATCTCCAGTATTGAAAAACAATCCATGCTGCATCTTGGATGCACTGAGGGGCAGGCACTGAGCTCCAGGCTCGTCCATGAGAAAACCACCTCAGAGCATTTGGCTGCTTCTCTGGGCTATGTGACTCTTAAGGTTCACTAGTGCTATCTACCTTGCAAGGTAAATGCTGCGCTTCCTCCTCAGTCCTGTGAGTGTCGCTGTCTTTACTGCTTGTTGGGTTTTTGCCTCTTCTTCCTCAGGAACAAGCAAACAGGACCTGGCATCCTTCAACATGGAGCTGTCCTCCAGCGGGATCAGTGCAGCTCTCTGCAAGGTGTGTGGTGGCCAGAGGCAATTCGCTGAAGGAGATGAGGGGATGCAGCTGACGGGCCCCCCATCCCACTCCTCTCCTTCCCTGACAGGGCCATGCTGTTGTGGGGGCAGTTGGAGCCAAGGACTGGACTGGGGGCTTTGTAGACCTGAATGAAAACCTACAGGATCGGGCATTTGTTGGGAGTGAGCAGCAAACCCCAGAAGTGAGAGCAGGCTACTTGGGTGAGTGCTTTTCTCTTTTGCTGGGTTCTTGTGGTTTGAGAGGCTAGAGAGAAGCTCAGATGGGCTCTAAGAATAATCATGAAAGCAGTTAAACAACCAACATGAACAGACTCAAAGTTGAAACATGGTTATAACATTCTTAAGTTTTCCCTTAATAATTCCTCGTCTGTATGTCTCTCATGTCTTTTATTTTCTGGTGCTTATGGCCCTGCTATTCCTGGCAAAACTCTCCTCTCATACCTGGCCATTCCCAGAGGTAGTGAACACCACACCTGTGAGCATGATGCTTCTCTCTCTCTTTTTTTAAAGGAATTCCCCCTTATTTGCTACAGCCAACTTCCCAGGAGATGCTCAGATTTCTGGTTCCCATTTGCTAATGGGCGGGGGGGGGGGGATAGGGGAAGTGGGATATTTGACTCTAGGCCATGTAGCAGTAGGTTCACTATTGCTAAGCAGGGAGGCAGGATGGACATTTGTTTTCACAGCGTCCTCAGTTCCAACATGGCGTGGATCTCAGGAGACACTGCTGGTTCTCCCCCTGGAAGGGCTGCAGTCTGCCACCCTGCCTCCACTTACCAGGAAGGGGAGGTGCTTGCTTGGCTTTCCAGAGTCCTAAGTTCCAACATGGCGCGGATCTCAGGAGACACTGCTGGTTCTCCCCCTGGAAGGGCTGCAGTCTGCCACCCTGCTTCCACTTACCAGGGAGGGGAGGTGCTTGCTTGGCTTCCCAGGGTCCTAAGTTCCAATATGAGCATGATGCTTCTCAGAAGCATGCAGCTGGTCCTGAACCCAGAGCCTCAGTTACCTCTGTTGTCTCATCACTGAGCCCAGGGACCCCCTCCCCATGGCTAGCCACCTGCCAACCAGAGGCTGTCTCTGCAGCCTAGAGCCCAGCCACAGTTGTTCAGTGTGTCCAATGCTAGATTTGTTCATGCTTGCCTCCCTATATGCACCATCCTTGCCGCGGAAACCACAGTGATTGCTTCTGCCTCCCTGCTCCACTGCTGCTTCCTCTCTGGCCCCCAGAGGATGCAGTGCCTCTCACTCTGGGTAACTGATTAGTACACCCCTTTCAATGACAGTGACTCCTCTGCCATCCCTCAGGCGCACCTATATGTTAATCCCCAGCTACATTTTAAACTTGCAGGCATGGTGGTGCATGCCTGTAATACCAGCACTTAGGAGGTTGTGGCAGGAGGATCTCTGCAAGTTCAAGGCCAGCCTGCACTACAAAGCAAGATCGCAACAAAACAAAACAAAAACACTTAAAACAAGCTCCTTGTTAGGAAGACTAGCAGCTCTTCCTTGAGACTTTCTTCTACTAAACTGTCCAGGAGCTCAGGGATTCTATTGTGTTTCAATAGTTCTTTTGGTGCTGAGTGGAGAGGAAATGAGTGTCAGTTCACAGCTGCTGTTACTTTTCACTGCCACCTGGTGTCTCTGTTGGAGACTCGTCCTGCACAGCTGTGTGGTGCTGGTTCAGCCCGGTGGCTGCAATGGAGCCTCATGCTGGTGCTCCAAGGCTAAGAGTTATCATGCGTATCAGGCATCGACCATAGCCAGCCTGTCCTGAGGTCTGTGTGGTTCACAGAGCCCTGGTAGGATGGCTTCCAGAATGGATCCTCTCACACATACACACAGCTACTTTCCTCCCCCTTTCCTAACCACTGCTAAGGAGTGGTCACTCATCCCTCTCAATGCACAAAAGCCTTGTTAGCTATCTTATCTTTTCTTTTTTTGTCTTTTTTAGAGAGTTCAGGTATGCGATTCAGGCTTGCCTTAAACTCACTTTATAGCTCCAGGCTGGCTTCAAACTCAAGGCGATCCTTCTGCCTCAGCCTCCCAAGTGTTGTTGTTAACTTTTCCCTCAGAAAAATTGGTGCTACTCATTTCCATCTACCCTTCTAAAAGAGACTATCCACAGTAGTTTCTTTTGCATTGTTGTTTTTGTTTTGAACTCTGTGTGTGTGTGACTGACTGAGGGACTGAACACAGTGGTGCTCAACCACTCAGTGCATTCTTAGTCTGTTTTATTTATTCCTTTATTTATTTTGAGACAGGGTCTCACTAAATTGTCTAGGTGGTAACTGAACTTGTGATCCTCCTGTCACAGCTCCTGAAATGAGATCTGGAAATACAGCTCAGTAGTAGAGCACTTACCCATCATGTGCAAGAACCTGATTTGAGTGCCTATCCTATACACACACACGTACACGTAGCCATTCCACTATGCACACATATTGAATACATAAAAATATAATCTTGAGTGTCTAATCTGTTACCATTCTTCAGCTCTTTGTTTAGCTATAACTTCCATTGTGCTAAGTATTTTACTCGTTTCCATTCTTTTTTTTTTTTTCTTGTGGCACTAAAGATTGAAGGGCCATCCTTCGCCCTTTTTTATTTTTTATTTTGAGACAAGGTTTTGCTGAATTACCCAGGCTGGGGTTGAACTTATGATCGTCCCACCTTGGTCTCCAAAAGTGCTGGAATTACACCACCACCCACTTCTTTTTCAGTACTCAAAACCACACAGTGATGTTGGTATTGTTCAGATTTTTTAGATTAGATAATTGAGGTTTAGAGGCACAGAATAATTTACTCTGCATCACACAGGTAGGATGTGATAGCACTGAGGTTTAAATTTGAGTTTTTGCTTTGTGCTTGCAGAATTCATGTGACTGAATAGGGTTGTGGTTCTGTTCCTCCGACCTCTGTTCACACATCTTGGACAGATTCTCTTCTCCTCTTCTGTTGCTCCATGCAGAGATCAGATGGAGAAAGAGTCATGTTGTAATTAGCATTCCTACCGGTGCCTTCCAGCCCCAGCTGATCCTGGGCTCCAGTTTCCCACAACATAAAGATCACCTGAAGTGATAGCTTTAAGCGTGAGGTTATTTTAAGTCTCCTACTGTATTTTAATATTCACACCAATTTTGCATTCTTCTTGTGAACATAGTCTATCTTATTCTATTAAAAAGAAAAAAGGAAGGACCGAGGATTTAGCTCAGTGGCATAAATGCCTGCCTGGCATGCGCAAGGCCATGAGTTTGATCCCTAGTACCAAAAAAAAAAAAAAAAAGAAAAGAAAAAGAAAAAGAAAAGAAAGAAAGAAAAAGAAGGTCACCCCTTCCCTATCCTCAGGTGACTGGAGCCCTGAAGGAGTTACCATGTTCACCTGAGGCCCGCAGCTGCTTCAGTCAGGGAAGGTCAGCCCCAACCAAGGCAGCGGGAGCACAGCGCGGCCTTCCTCAGGGGCAGGTCTCCCAGCTGTTTCCACCAGGGCTCTGTGCCACCCTCCCTTCTGTGTCCTTTGCATTCTTAACTCTAGACTCCTCGCCCTTTCCCTCCTCAGGTTACACAGTGACCTGGCTGCCTTTCCAGGGGTCTGTGTCCCTGGTGGCAGCTGGAGCCCCCCGATACCAGCACGTGGGCCAAGTGTTGCTGTTCCAAGAACTGAAGGATACAGGACACTGGACACAGATCCAGAAAATAGAAGGGACTCAGGTGAGCATGGCCCAAGGGGAATTTTCAGGATAGGGGCCTATGTGGCATGAGTGGGCCTCCCTGGGCCTCACTTGTGTGACAGGCCCTGTCACATAAGTTGTTCAAAAGTCCTCTGAGAGGAGCCTTGCCATGGCCAATCGCTGGTCTAAGACACTGTACCTTCCAGAGCCCAGCTTGTGTGAACTCAGGTGGGCTCTGAGGTGGGTCCAGGTCTTAGACCTGGGACGGGAAGAAAGTGGACATGGTGCAGCTGAGGGGTACACCTCCTGCTGTCCCTTAGACATCTTCCTCTTCCTACAGATTGGCTCTTATTTTGGTGGGGAGCTGTGCGGCATTGACATAGATCAAGACGGGGAGACAGAGCTGCTGCTGATTGGAGCCCCTCTGTTCTATGGAGAGCAAAGAGGTGGCCGAGTGTTTATCTACCAGAGAAAACAGGTGAGAACCAGAGCCATGAGTGAGGCAGAAGGGGAAAAGCAGAGATTCACAGGCCCTCTAAGGTCCCAGATACTCTGAAAGGCTTCTCCTGTCTGATCACAAGTTAGTCAAACCTTTAGAACCACTGGCCATGGTGATGTACATTTATAATCCCAGCACCTGAGAGGCGGAGGCAGGAGGATTGCCATGATTTGAAGGCCAGCCCAAGCTATGTAGTGAAACCCTGTCTAACAATAGCGAACAAGGCCCAGTACCAAACATTTTGTATCTATGGCCTCACTTTACCCTTCTGTGACCTCCTGAGATTCTGGAAGTGTCATTTTTACAAATGGTAACACAAGGGCTCAGTGAAGCAAGGTAACTTTCCAGAGCCACAAGGTCACGCAATGCTCACATCTCACATTTCTTTAATGTTCTTCACTAAACTGTTCTTTTCACATTCTGTGGAAGTGGGTGATCAAAGTATGTGACCTTGGTCCTTCCCAGCTGGGGTTCAAGGCTGTCTCAGAACTGCAGGGGCTTCCTGGCTACCCCCTGGGGCAGTTTGGAGCTGCCATCGCTGCCCTGAGAGACATCAACGGGGATGGCCTGATGGATGTGGCTGTGGGAGCGCCCCTGGAGGAGCAGGGGGCTGTGTACATCTTCAACGGGCAGCCTGGGGGGCTCAGACCCCAGCCGAGTCAGGTGAGGCGCCCTACCTGCCGGTCAAAGCCTGCTCCCAGACCTGTTCCCCCAATGCCTCCAACCCAGCCCCCAGCCCCCACCTGACTTCCTGCCCTCCCTATTCTCTCCCTGAATTTCTCTTCATTACAGAGGATAGAAGGGACCCAGGTGTTGTCAGGAATCCAGTGGTTTGGACGCTCCATCCATGGGGTGAAGGACCTTGACGGAGATGGCCTAACAGATGTCGTTGTGGGGGCTGAAGGTCAGATGATTGTGCTGAGGTGAGATGGGGCTCTGGGACCCTCAGCAGCTTCTTCTCTCATCATGGCAGTGGTGGGACAAGGCACTGAGCTGAGAATACTCATTCACGTGGTCATCACCCCAAGCCTGGGAGACGGGTTCTCCTTTAAGAGGTCTCATGTCTTCCTGGGAAGTTAATAGCTGCTATTTAGTGACAGAAGTGGGATTTGAACCCTGGCCTCTTTGACACTGAAACCTAGAGAAGCGGTATCATGTGATAGACAAAAGGTTGGCTTTAGAACATGGTGGCTTGGGTTCTCAGGACCTGAGCTTCCTCATGTTAAAGTGCTGGTGAGATTTCCTGCCTTGTCCATTTCTTAGAGATGTTGGAACCATCATCTGTAACATCATACAGGGAATAGATACTTATCAAACCCAGGGCTTGTCAGACAGGTGCTTATGCCAATGAGCTAACTCCCTGGCCCTGGAAATTTTTTTTTTTTTTTGTCTTTTTGAGACAGGGTGTCGCTACACAGTTCAGGCTGACCTTGGGCTCACTTTGTAGCCCAAGCTGGTTTGGAACTTACAAGTGATTTTCTTATCTCAGCCTCCCAAGTGCTGGGATTATAGGAGTGTACCACCATGCCCAGCTTTGAGATTTCTTTCAATGTTCAATAAGTAAATAGGTAATTATAAATTGTGTTTGGGGTGAGGCGAAGCAGGGTCTCATTGTGTCTGCCTTGTGTGTGTGTGTGTGTGTGTGTGTGTGTGTGTGTGTGTGTGTCCTGGGGATGGAACACATGGCCTCACACATGCTAGGCAGTGATCTCCCCTGAGCTACCTTTCCAGCTCCGATTCCTCTGTTTAAAAGCTCATGCTTCTTTATAGATAGCAGCTCACAGGCTATCAGAATTGAGCGAGGGAGCCCTCATTAGTTGCACCATGGTGGTTACTATTGGAAGAAGACAAGGGCATCATCTTTAGAGACAAAGCCTGGAGCTTAGAGACAAAGCCTGGAGGAGTGTTCATTTGAGGCCAAGGAGAGATTGGTGGTTTTCTGCCCTGCAGGTCCCGGCCTGTGGTAGATGTTATCACTCGAATGTCCTTCTTCCCACTGGAGATTCCAGTGCATGAGGTTGAGTGCTCCTACTCAGCCAGTCCCCGGAAGAAGGAAGGAGTTAACCTCACAGTCTGTTTCCAACTCAAGAGTCTCACCCGCCAGTTCCAAGGTAGGAACGATCCTCCTACTCTGCAGTACTGGCCTACAACTCCAGCACCATTCAAATCCTCCTCCCCCCTGCCCAGGTCGCTTGGTTACCAACCTCACCTACACTCTGCAGCTGGATGGCCATCGGAGCAGGAGCCGGGGCCTGTTCCCAGGAGGGAGGCCCGAACTCACCAGCACTACAGGTGTCTCACAAGATGAATCCTGTAAGAAGTTCTGGTTTCACTTCCCGGTAAGGAATCTTCTGGGATGCAGATGAGGCACTGTTGTGCTGGGTGACAGTCATGTCGATCTCTCTGGACTATGATTCCACGCTGTGCAGTAGTTGGGATGGTATTTGCAACGCATTTTCTTCCAGTCTTGATTATGTCCATGAAAGGATTTGTGTCTGGGTGATGACTGTGATATACCATCTATTTTCCTTACTCTTTTCTCACACCATATATAATTCCGCTACTCAGCATTCGTAGTTATTTTCAATGGCTATTGAATAGTCAGTCATCGTGGTGTGTCATTATTATTATTATTTTTTTTTTGGTCTTTTTCGTTTTTATTGGTACCAGGGATCGAACTCAGGACTGCCTGCTTGCAAGGCAGGCGCTTATGCCGCTGAGCTAAATCCCCAGCCCCGGTGTGTCATTATTTACCAGGTACACAAAGGGACTTATTATAAACACCTATCCCCAAAATACTAGTTTGAGGTGATATGATGACATACTTCTATGATCCAGCACTTGGGAGGCTGAGGAAGGTAAATCACTCAGAGTTCAAGACCAGCCTGAATTGCATAATGAGACCTTATCTCAAAAAAGTTAAATAAAATACTAGTTTGAACAACAGCTAAGATACACAGATACAGTTTGCTTATAGCAGTTCTTTGCACAAATGGAATTGAGCTGGAGATGGTGTTCCACTCCTGTAATCTCAGCCCTATGGGAGGCTGAGGCAGAAGAATCATAAATTTAGGTCCATCTTGGGGAAGTGAAACCCCAGTCTCAAATTTTAAAAAAAGAAATTTTTAAAGGATTAGAACATCAGTGCAAAATATCTAGAATCAATCCCTAGCAGCACAAAAAAATAAATAAATAAAACTTTAAAAGGCCTGGGGATATAACTCCATCTTGGTTTAATTCTTAACATTAAAAAAAATTTATGTCGAATTATTTTATTTTATTTAGCATTTCATAAAAAACTGAAGATAGGATTGAGGTACAAAATTTCAGTTTGTTTTGCATTTTTTATTATAGAGAATGTTAAACATGCAAAAATAGAAAAGTTTAGTGTTGTTCCAGGGACTCATCATTGTGTTTCAGTGATTACCACATCACTGTGTCACATCATTTCCAACTGCATGCAGTGTGTCTCCACCTCCACACACACCACGCCTTGTGAGGGCTGGGAAGTTCAAGCATAAATTTGCCAGACAGAATAACAGGGGGACACAGTAGAAAGTCCTTAGAGTTTGGATTAGAACAAATGTGATTTCAAATCTTGGTTCTCTGTCACGCCCAGTTCTAGACTTTAGGACAATTGATCATCTTTTCAGGGCTCAGTTTTCTCCTTTTAAATGTGGGACTGATTGTTTACTTCTTAAAATTAGTGGAAATTTCAGGTAAGGTATGATTTGAATGCCTAAAAATGCTAGTGTCAGGCACTGGTAATAAGCCAAAAACCTGTTATTTTTCTCAAGGAATTAATGTTACAGAAAGAGAACAGTTATTGTAGAATACTCTTGTGTAAATTTTGGTAGTGGTGGAACGGAGTCATTGCCCAAAGATTCGTTCTCTCCTATTAGGACTCAGTGAGAAATAGTACTGTGATTGATTAGTGGTGTTTGCCATGGAATTGAGGCAAAGGAATAGATGCTTGTACTGAGAATCACCCAGGGCACATTATAAGCACTGACATGATAAATGTGTTTTCATAACTGATAAGGGATAAGCAAAACAAAACAAAGCTGTTTAAAATTGGAAAGGTCTTAAACAACTAATTTCTAGAATTTCATTGGGTAAAACTGTTGGTGCAGGTCAGATTCAGGACCAATGCTGTGTTCCTCTCGCCCCCAGGTCTGCATTCAAGACCTTATCTCCCCCATCAACATTTCCTTGAACTTCTCTCTTTGGGAGAAAGAAGAAACAATGCAGAACAAAGACATGGTAAGGAGAGATGGACTGGCTCGGGATTGGCGGACAACGGGAAAACAGAAATGTCATGTAGCCAGAAGTAACTGTATTTCATAGGAGTCTGGATAATTGTAAGCCACTAAAACTAAACTTGGCATACTTAAGCAGGAAAAAAATATGAGAGTTTGTGTTGAAAAGAAATTTGGAAAAATAACTGTGAAGATTGGAAGCCAGGTTGGTGACTCTGGAGCTCTGGGAGGTGATAATGGCTGAACTCTGCAGGACTCCATCAATGAATTTGTGCCAGGCCCCTGCTTGGCATCAGCTCTGGGCCACACTCAGTTCTAACACTGCTCAACCCACATACTCCAGGGAGAGAACTTTGGAAGGCCTGGCTTTGGACCTGTTTTTGTTCCCTATTTCTAGAAAGGCAGCCCCCTTTTTTTTTTTTTTTTTGTACGAGGAATTAAACTCAGGACCCTAAAATTGCCAGGTAGGCACTGAGCTAACTCCCCAGCCCAGGTCACGGCATCTTTTTTTTTTTTTTATTTTATTTAAGGAGAAAAAAGAAAAAAAAAAAAAACAGATAAAGGGCACAAGTTATACAGAATTTCAGAAAAAATAAATAGTAGGAAATCACTAGTTAATTACATATTGTCATCTCAGAAATAGTTGTTGAAGTTACAAAATTAAAGCATATAGAGGGGACTTTCAAACAGTGAGGCTGCAAACAGTTTTGTTCAATGATCCAACAAAACTTAGTAATATGGTTATCTATCTTATACACTTAAATAAATATGCAGTTATGTCTTTTAGAGAACTTTCTTTTCCTTTCTTTTGTACAATGACAATTACACATTTTGGGTTTTATTACTCTGGGTCACGGCATCTTGATTTGCCTTCTCACCTGTGTGTTTGATTGGTGGTAGGCAGCACCCTCAAAACCATATTAGAGTGCTATAAAAGGGCAAAAATATCTACTCTAGCTTTCCAAATCAGACTCCCACCCCACCCCATGGTAAAAGCCTGACATCCTTTTCTGAAGTCCTCGACACTCAGCTGGAGGCCAGGCAGGTCAGAGGTGGCCGTGTGGCATGAAGAACCCAAGCCTGAAAGCCTGAACATGGAATTTCTTCCCCAGCTCATGCGTGAACAGGTCCTGCCCTGCCGGGGGCTGGTTTCCACCCATTGAATGAGCCCCCACACTGTGAGGAGCCTTTCAGAGCTGGCAGCCTTTGGCACCTGCATAGTGACTGTTAAGCACACTCTGTGGCTTTAGGCAGCATACAGTGGGTGGACCCCGCCATCTGGGCACATTCTCCTGGGGCCTGGTGATTGCAGGCTTACCAGAAATAAAGCTCTGCCCACCAGAGCTTTGCTGATGAGTCCCTGCCTTGCTAAGCCCTCTCCCAGGCACAGCTCCATGGAGGCCAATAAGCATAGCCTCTGCCCCTACAGAGCTCACAGTCCACTGTGGGAGAAGCCAGAGAAGTCAGCAGTTCCAACACATTGCCATGATGCTATGGGCAGTTTGATACAATCTGCAGCGGAGGTTTGAGGGGATAAGGGACGTCTGCTCACAAGGTGACCTGCAAGTCTCCAGGTAGAGAAGGGAGGTGGCATCAGGAGGAGGATATAACATGAACGGATGTGTCAGGAGATGGGAGCAGAGCTGGTGACCCAGAGCTCCAGCCTGCTTCTGAGTGTGCCGGGCAGCTGGGAAGGAAGTTTGAAGTGGGCGTTTGAGGGGGGCGCTCTGGAAGACGCAAGCAGGAGGATCTCAGCTTCAAGTGCAGACAGGGCAACTTAGTGATCTGATGAGACTCTGTCTCAAAATTTAAAAATAGGTTTTTTTAGAGAGCTGTCTTCGTAGCCCAGAGCAAAAAACCAATCCCCAGTACTGAAAAAAAACAAAACAAAACATTTTTTTGCTATTGAAAAAGGAAATATTACACATGCATGAGTGTTTTTTTCTTTTTATTTGAAGTGTCAGAAACCTAGGGAGTGGATTGAGTCTGAGATGGAGGGAAGGTCCTGGTCTCACATATGTCTGCATCCAAGTCCCTAAACACGGGCGTCAAACATCGCTTTCATATCACAGCTTGTTATCCTTGTGTTGGTGTCAGACATTCTCTTCATCACTTGGAGACTCCATGCAGAAAAAGAGAGACCTGATGTCATGACCTGGGCCATATTCATACCCCTAAACCAATCCCTGGGACCAGGCTTGGGTCAAAAATGCACCTCATATTTGGTTACAGGGGATAGTCAGGTATAGACCTTCCGGGTCCTCATCGTGATCCAGGAAACATATATTTGTAATCCTGTGGAAAAGTTATTGGAATTCCAATAAGCTAATTCCAATCTACCACTTCCAGTACAAAGTATGGCTAGAATAAAGACACTGAGACATATTTATAGCTAAGGGGAGCCGAGGGAATCCTAAGACCAACCAAGGTGATGGTTCACTGGAACAAAGGCCTTGACCCAGGGTCAAACCCGAGTTTTATTAATTCTCAACAAGGGGAGTGGCTCGGGAATGAGTGACTGAGAGAGCAGTGGGAGTAGGAGAGCTGGGCTAGGTAGGTGGTGTGGAATTACCTCTGCAATATGCAGAAGGAATAATCTACATAATACAGCTTCAGGCAGTCGCTTTGGTTTTGATGTGTAAACTTTTCTGCCCTGGGAAATCATAGGCTCTTGTCTCAAAGCTCCATCTCAGGTGACACCTGGCAAAGTAGCTCTTCATCCCACCCACTCAACCATGATTTTTGGGAGTCACAGAGTGGGAAATAGCGACTGTCTCCTAACTTTATTATTTTTTCCAAATCCATTTTATTTCAAGGAGAAAAAGAAAGAGAAGAAAAAATAAAAACTACAAAAAAATTTCAAAACACATCAGTCAGGGACAATAATGGTACATACATTGCACATTGTCATCCCTAAATCATCCATCCAGAGCACAAGACATCTGCATTCAGTTGTTCAAACAATATCAGCACAAATCTTTCTCTTCAGTGAACTCAGAGAAATCAGTAGTATAACTTATTTTTTACCTACATATACATATATATGTATACATATACTGGTTCTCTCAGCTTCTCACACTGAGCCAATATGATGTTTAGTGTGTCTTATTTATTCCACTAATGAGTATGTTCTCAAGTTGTATCCATTTACCTATAAAGTCTCCAGATTATCCTTCTTTATGGGTGGGTAGTACTCCATTGCATAAAAAGACCACATCTTTTTTATCCACTTCTCAGTTGATAGGCAGTTAGGTTATTTCCAAGATCTGTCTATTACAAATTGTGTTGCTATAAACATGAGTGCACAGGGTCGAGGATTTAGCTCATCTGCATAAACACCTGCTTGGCAAACTCGAGGTCGTGAGTTCAATCCCTGATACCAAAAAAAAAAACATAAGTGCACATATATCACTGTACTATGATGTTTTTAATTCTTTTGGGATGATATCTGCCTCAATCCATGAGGCCTTGAGGTTCTTGGAGTTAAGGATCTAGAGAGGATGAGAAAATAAAGAAGGGACAGCTGGGATCAGGTGACGCCCTTATCCTCCTGATGGAAGGAAAGATACTGGCCCCTCACTGTAGGGGCGTTTATTTATGTCTTTTAGCAACTTAATGTCACATGACTCCCTGTTGCCCTATCAACTCACTGCTCAGATTGTCTAGGGGCTAGGTGTTCTCTGGGCTGAAGCAGCTTCTTCATGTGGCTTGCCCCAGGCACTCTTTGTTCTTGAGATGGTCGCGCTCCAGCCTTGCATGTGTGGTCAATTTCCAGCTCCAGTGACTCCCAGATACCCAGAAGAGCAATAGCTATGTTAAATGGGACCTCCAACCTAGTTTTTTGAGGAATCTCCACACTGATTTCCAAGTTGTTGCACCAGTCTGCATTCCCACCAACAGTGGAGAAGGGTTCCTTTTTCCCCACAGCCTCTCCAGCATTTGTTATTGGTTGATTTCTTGATAGTAGCCATTCTTTCTGGGATGAGGTAAAATCTCAGTGTTGTTTTAATTTGTATCTTTCAAATGACCAATGATGTTAAACATTTTTTCACGTATTTATTTGCTGTTTGTATTTCTTCATCTTGAAAGTATATATTCATCTCACATGTCCATTTTTAGATCTTTAAATCTGGGAGGACTGATTATTTTGGGTTCTTTATATGTTCTCAATAGTAATTCTTTGTCAAAGCTGGATAACATTTTCCCCCTTGTTGTGGGTTGTCTCTTCATGGTGATTTCTCTTGCTTTGAAAAAGCTTTCCAATAGGGTAAGATCCCAGTTATTGATTCTCTATGATAGTTCTTGTGTAATAGGGTTTTCTTTTTCATAAAGTCTTTGTCTACACCAATGTGTTGAAGAATTTTACCTACTCTATCTTCCAGCAGATTTTTAAAATTTTTTTTAAAATTTTATTTAAAGAAAAAAAACAGTAAAAGGGTACAAGTAATACAGAATTTCAAAAAAAAAACAGTAAGAAATCACTAGTAAATAGATTATATATTGTCATCTTAGAAATAGTTGTTCAAGTTATAAAACTAAAGCATACCAAGTGGACATTCAAGCAGTGAGACTGCAAATTGTGTTCAGTGATCCAACAAAAACTTAGTAATATGATCATCTATCTTACACACCTAAACATACTTGCAGTTATATCTTTTAGAGCACTTTCTTTTCCTCTCTTTTTTACAATAACATTTACACATTTTGGGTTTTATTACTCCCACAGTTCTTATTAATTTTTTTGGAAGAGAATAAAACCAAATATGACAAAACAAAGCAGTCAGTCAAAACAAAGGATAGACATAGTACATGATGTAAAAGCAGAATACAAGGTGATCAACAATGGTTACCGTAATACCTCTTGCTACTTTAAAAAGAATTGCCTATATCATCAGGTATAATAAAATCGAACAAAACAGTACAGAACAAAACCAATAAAACATAAACATTGGAGACATTACAGGACTTCAAAAGAAGATAATAGTCAAACCAGAATGGGCATCATAGTGAATCTTATTGTCTTCAAAGTAGTTGCTTATACCTCTTACAGCAGATTTAATGTTTCTGTTTTAATATTGAGATCTTTGATCCATTCGGAGTTTAGCTTGGTACATGGTGAAAGATATGTGTCCCCTAACTTTAAAGATTATGCATCAGCATCTCAGCCAGCCCTATTTACATTGCTTAAAGCCAATTGAAGTGATAAGAAAATGGCCTAATCAGCTCTGTACATGTTGGTACATGGCGATAGCCAAAATGGAAATAAATGCTCTTTATTCAAAGAGACAGCTCTCCACAGCCAAGGATTTGGGTGGACCTTTAATGCAGAAGGGAGAGAGGAGGAGACATTTGAGGCAGCTAATTCAACGTGCCCTGAGTGGAGGTCGTGTTGAAGGATATGTGGATGGGCCTGGGCTTGCAGTAGTAGCAGCCAGTCCTCCTGGGGCCTGAACCAAGGCCCTTCCTGTGGGATGGAGTAGAGGAAATGAGTTAAGAGTGGACTCAAAAGAGTTGTCAGAAGCTGAGATGTGGGGAAAGAAGCTGAAGATGATGTCCGTGTCTGACTTGTATCTAGGTAAATGATTGAGTCCCCGGTGACAGGGAGCGTGAGCGGGACTTGCGTTTAGTGAGAGGGGGACTGAGGAGTCCAGCTTAGTTGGACTTAGTTGCCTTTGGGACCTGTGAGTCCTCAGGAGATGCCACATCCAGGACAGAGTCCAAGTTACTTAAATCCAGCCATGAGCAGCAGATTCACAGTTTGAAATGTCTTTCTTCCTCCTGTGAAAAGCAGCCAGAAGCTGGTGTGGCGGTTCTGTCTCTAAACTGGAGCTGGCTGGCAGACTTTACCTGGAGAGTAAAGTAAATGTCACTGGCTTTGCAGATCCTGTGGTTTCTGTCACTCAGCTCTGCCTTTTATAGCATCAAAGCCACCACAAATAACAGATGTGTGGGGCATTTTCTGAAGAGGCAGGGCTGGATCTGACCTTCTTGCCTTGATTTGCTCATCCACCTGCCCCAACATGGCTCTAAATCAGCAGCATGGCTTCCTTTCTTCCCTTGCATTCCATCTTGTGCTCTAGGATGACTGTTCAGGCCCTTACCATCATGCTCCCACCTTGCAGAGGGAAGGCAGAAGAAGCACATCCATCTCTCTTTTAAGAAAGTTTCTGCTGGGTATGATGGCACATGCCTGTGATCCAGCACTCAGGAGGCTGAGGCAGGAGGATTGCAAATTCAAGGCCAGTCTGAGCAACATAGTGAGTTCAAGGTCAGCCTGCACTACATAGCAAGACCCTATCTAAAAAAAATTAAAATTAAAATTAAAAAATCCTAAAAATCTGCATAACACTTTCACTTACATCTCATTGGTCAGAGCTTAGTCACATGATCATATTCAGTTGCAAGAGAGACTGAGAAAAGCAGACATCTTTCCACAGAGCCTTGTACCCCAAAAAGAAGTGGAAGTTAAGTCTTAAAGATATAAGGAACACAGAAAGATGTCAGGACAACCAACAGTCTCTGCCATAGACACTTTTAAATTCCATATGACACAGACAGTATAGAAACTCAGGAAAAGGGACCTGATCATAAAGTCAAAAAGATTCTGAGGGGTAGATGGAGAGGGAAGGTAGGTAGGGTGGTAAGACTGTACATGGTGGGTCTCAGGGAACAGTCAGCAGGGGCCACCAGGATGTTAGCCCTCAGTGAGGAGTCTGGAGTCTGCTTGGCAGGTGGCCTGATACAGAGGAGGCTCCAGTTGGACACCAACCCTTTAATACATGGGCTTTGGGGGGATATTTTCAGGTTTTTTTTTTCTTTATTTTGGAGACTGTTTCATTTTGTTTTTGTTTTCATTTGAGACAAAGTCTTGCTGTATAGTTTGGGCTGTCCTTGAACTTGCTGAGATCCTCCTGCCTCAGCCTCCCAAGTTCTGGGATTACAGGCTTATACCACCATGCCCAGCTGCCCTTTGGGGGACTTTTTTTTAAGTGCAAACTATTGCATTTATACTTCAGTTGAGATACCAGTGCTTCAGGAGGCTGCCTACACCAGCCCTGGAATAGTCTTTCTCCATGCCCTGAAGATACTCCGAACTTGTTTAGCCATAACACTTAACCCCCTGTAGAAAATGCCAGGTTGTTTCTCCCTCCCATTCGGAGGGCAAGTAGTCTGCCTGTTTGCTCTCTGGTTATAATCAGTGCTCAGCATGGGGCCTGGCCTGGAGTGCGAGCTTGGAAAGCATTGAAAACTTTGGCCTTGAGACTTTGAGATGAGTGCCTTTCTAGCGAATGAAGGGGTTGCCAGAAAGAGGGCAGCTCATAGGCAGGTGAGCCCCAAGTCCACAGAGCCAAGCTCAGTCAAACTCTGTGGAGCTGTTTTGTCCCCACCCAGCCCTCCTGTCCTTAGAGGGAAGGGGGCCCTTAGAGCCTCAGCCCGCTGCCTCAGCTAAGCTCTCTTGTCTTTGCTCCTCCACCCTCAGGAGAACCCAGACATGTGGCCCGTGCTGAGACCCTCCCCACACTCAGAGACCAAGGAGGTAAAAAGCCTGAGGGCAAGGGCTGGCCTGGGGTTGGGCCCTGCTGCTCCAGGGCCTCCAAGTCCTTCTTCTTGGCCTTGCAGATCCCTTTTGAGAAGAACTGCGGGGAGGACAAGAAGTGTGAAGCTGACCTAAAGCTGTCCTTCTCTCCTGCCAGGTCCAGAAGCCTTCACAATCTACCCCACCCTCCCTTGGGTTCCACTGTGGCTCCTAAGGCAGCGCCTGTGCCCTGGACTCCTCACTGTGTATCGACTGGGAGGCAGCTGCCCTCTCTGGTCCTTAGTTTGCTTCTCTGAGAACAGGAGGGTCCTTCTGGAGTTTGCCTTGTCTGGGCTAGATGAGGTCACACAAAGGCCTGAGTTGAGGAGCTTTTTTTTTCAGCACTGGAAAGTGAACCCAGGGTCTCACATGTGCTTGGTAAGCACTGTACTGCCAAGCTATACCCCTAGCCCTGAGGCTTGTCTGTGTGCCCTATCAGAGCCCTCAGGGTTTTTTTTGTTGTTGTTGTTGTTGTTTGTTTGTTTGTTTGTTTGTTTGTTTGAGACAGGGGTTCACTACATGGTCCAGGCTGGTTTTAAACTCCTAGCCATCCTCCTCCTGCCTCTTCCTCCCAAGTGCTGGGATTATAGACGTACACCACCACACCAGGCCTGGTTCCTCAATTTGAAGTTTTCACCTTAATCCTGTCATTTGGCCCCATAACTGTCCTCTGATCTCCACCTCACCAGGTCCAGAGAGCTGCATCTGATCCCTTCTTCTAGCCTTGCTATGGAGTGGACACTGAGCAACTCAGGAGAAGATGCTTACTGGGTCCAGCTGAGCCTGAGCTTCCCCCGGGGCCTGTCATTCCGAAAAGTGGAGATGCTGAGGGTGAGTCCAGGATTCAGGTGCATAGTGAGGAGTGTGCCCGGCTGTGCCCCTGATTCTCTGACCCTGATTGTCCAGGAATGTGCCATGACAGAGATACAGCCCTGAAGGCAATAGCCCTGAGGATTGATGGGCTTTGGGGGGAACCTTGAGCCTTGTCTATCCACAAACTTTTGCCTTGTCTATCCACAAAGCCTCACAGCCAGATGCCTGTGAGCTGCGAAGAGCTCCCAGAGGAGCCCAAGCTGCTGACCAAAAACCTCTTGTGCAATGTGAGCTCACCAATCTTCAAAGCAGGCACCTTGGTGAGTGCTGTTCAGCAGGGTTCAGGGACCAAGGGATCAAGGGCTGTGAGCCAGGAAAGAGGAGTGAGCTCTTGGTTCTGGGGAGGGAGCACGTGATTGGTCAGCCAAGGCCTGGTATAGAGCCTGGACTTTGGACCAGACAAACCTGAGATGGGTTGTTTGTGATCCTGTGCACATAGCATAACCTCTGTACAGTGGGGATGAAATACCTAGCCCGGTGTTTGAGCAGCACCAAGCTCTGGACCCTTTACAGAATCACTGTCGTTATGATACTTGGGCTCCTCCTGAGGTCCCCTCCTTCTTCCTTGCCCTCTTTCCCTGCTAGGTTGGCATCCAGGTGATGTTTAACACACTGATGAACAGCTCCTGGGGGGACTTTGTGGAGCTGAACACCACTGTGCGCTGGTGAGCAGGCCCCAGAAAGGCCCCCACTGACACCCAGCACCACAGAGCCCGGCCACGCCTGCTCCTAACACTGCTCTCTGCCTTGCCCTGCTACAGTGAGAATGAGAATGCAAGTCTCCTGGAGGACAACTCAGCCACCACCAGCGTCCCTGTCCTGTATCCCATCAACGTCCTCATAGAGGAGTGAGTCCTGAGCCAAGCCTCCCCTCCTCCCACCTTGGCCTCCCTCTTCAGGCCACCCAGGGGTTCCTCTCCAAGCCCTCTTCCTTTTCTTCAAGCCCTGGGAGAGGGGCAATTAAAGCTCATCCTAGCCACAGCCCCTAGTTTTCAGCTCTCCAAAAGCAAAGGGCACACTAAGGGCTTTTGAGTTAGGTCATCATTTACCAATGGAAGAAAAGGCACCCCGATCCCTGGCCCATGTCAGACCTGTGCCAGTGCGCTGGCAGGATCGGTGATTAATGACCATGTGATTAATGACCAGACCAAGGCTTAGAGAAACAGGTTCTTACTCAAGCTGGCAAGGACGGAAGCCAGATTCTGAATTTAGGTCTGTCGGGTGCAGTCACAGCCAACCTTGTGACAGTTTTCAGCTATGCTAGGTTCTTCCCCTTCTCAGGAATTGCAGGGCAGGGTGGCAAGACAGAAGTTTCCACAGTGATCCTTGGCTCAGAGTGCACAATCAAGTCGGAAACCAGACTCTCGCCCACCCAGGATCTATGAGTCCTAGCACGCTTTGTGGGAAGGCCCCACAAGGTCCACTAGCTGAATTTTCTAGTTTACAGAAAAGGAAGCTAGAAAAGTAGCAGCTTTTCCAAGGTAGCTTAGTGAGATAGGGACAGGGACATATCAAAGCTCATGGCTCCAGTGCTTCAGAACATCGATGCTAAGCAGCATAAGACTAAATGAGAAAGTGGGTCTGGGACTGGGCCTGGAGCCTGGGTTTCGGATAATGGCCAAGAGGCAGGACACAGAGGGGCCGGGGTAGAAAACAGAATAGGCTGACAGCATGTGAGCAAAAGTGTGAGGGGAGAGGTGGAGAGGGATAGGTGGGCATAGGGCCTGGACCTGCCCCAGGGGAAGCAGGTATGTTTGGCAGGGCTGGCACAGTGTCAGGGAAGGGGAAATCAGACGCTGTGTTTACCAGAGCCAAAGGACAGTGGAGGCACTGATAAGGTGACACAAAGAAAGAGGATATGGTGTCCCAAACAGGGCTCTACCCCCAGGCTCCTGTCCTGTGTCCCACTGTAAGGCTTTGGACAAGAGCCTGCCCTTGGTTTCCAAAGGCTGAATCCCACAGCATCTGCATGGCCCCTAGCATAGTAACGACAGACCAAGGCTTCCTGGGGTCTGCGTTGCTGTCTCCACCACCTTCCATCTCTGTTCTGTTCTCTTCCACAGCCAGGAAAACTCTACAGTCTACATCAGTTTCACCCCAAAAGGTCCCAAGATCCACCAGATCAAGCACATCTATCAGGTATAAACCCGCACAGGGTAGGGTCGTTTAGCCCATACCTCGTGCCAGGCCCGTCCTGAGGATGAGTTAGACCTTCCACATCCTGCGGGGGGGGGGGAGCCCTCCATCCAGTTTCCCAGTCCTCCCCAGGTTAGCTTCACAGCCTCCACCGCAAAGCTTACGCTGCCTTTCCCACACCCAAGCCTTGATGGAGTCACAAAACTTGAAAGCAAGGACACTTTTTAGTCAAACATGTAATGAGCTGCAGCCTTTCACATCCTCGTCTTCTCACAGCTGGACTGAGATGTGGGGCAGATTCTGCCTTTCCAAACATTCTCCTCATCCCACCTTGAAGCCTCTCCCTCCCATGTCTACCTTCTGTGACCTGTGACCAATTGATTATACCCTGGTTCTTTGGCCTCAGGCCTTCTGAGCCCCACGGTTGGGTCAAAATAGAGCCTCCTTCCCCAGCCCCCTACTCCAGCCACATCACACTCATGGGTGCTACCCCTGTGTGTTTTCCTGGGTGTCCTCTCCAGCCTTCCTCTGCGGAAGTACTGACCATCTCAACAGTAAAATTTAAATGCCTCTGACAGTGAACCTTCCCAATTTCACTGATATTTAAGTGTCTAAAAGTGTTTGTTGAACAAACAACAGAACCCCACAAATTGGACATACATACCCTGCTTGATTTCTTTGAGATATTATTGGTGATAATTCTGTGATACTTTCTAGCACATTTCTGGGTGCCAACCTTACCTTTAGAGAGTTCTTTTTATATACAAAGTACTCAAATATTTCTTAGTTCAGTCCATTTGCCAAAATGAATCTTTTTCAACCTGTTGTACAAATAATTATTGTATATATCCTTCTTAAATATCATTTACCCAGGGCTGGGGATTTAGCTCAGCAGCATAAGTGCCTGCCTTGCAAGCGTGTGGTCATGAGTTCAATCCCCAGTACTGGTTAAAAAAAAAAATAAATGAATAAACAAATAAATAAATACAACTTACCCACTCAGTTCAAAAAACTACCTTTTGGCTGGAGGTATGCAGTTCAGTAGGAGAGCTCATGCCTAGCAGGTGTGTGGCCCTGGGTTCAATCCCAGAAACTCCCCTCCCCCAAAAAGCAAGCTGCTTGTGGTGGCTCACACAGCAGATTAAGCCAGAGGATCACCAAGGACTCAAGGCCAGCCTGTGCTACATAGTGAGTTCGAGACCAGCCTGAATTACATTGCAAGATCCTATCTCAAAAAACAAAGACATTAAAAAAAAAAGCTACCTTTTTTGGGGCCTGTGATATGTAGGGTACTGTAATCAAGCAGTAAGGAGCTGGAGATGAAATCCCTCCTGTCCTCAGGAAGCTCATGGTCCTGTAGAGTTACAGACACACTTTGTCACCCTGCCAGGGGTGAGCAGAGTTCAGCAGCACCCAGGAGGAGAAGCTGCCCAGTCTTCAGGAGCCAGCCAGCCCTCCAGAGAAGAGGATATGGCAGGACCCTGCAGGATGTGGGAGGGCTTTGCCATTGGGAGAAAGCTGGGAAAGTCCTGGAGCCTGTGCCACTGAGGTCCGCAGGCCAGGTCAGGCCAGCATGGTGGGCTCTACATCCTTGTCTTCTGTGCCAGGTGAGGATTCAGCCTTCTGTCCATGACCACAACATGCCAATGTTGGAGGCTGTGGTCAAGGTGCCCCAGCCTCTCAGCAAACAGCCCTTGACACACAGATGGAGCGTGCAGATGGTGAGTGCTATCCAGGACCGAGGCCGCCTGGCCTGCCAGTGAGGCCATCCTGACTCAGTGTGGGGCTGGGTATAGAAAGTGATGGTGAGTAGATCCAAATCCCAGAGACTCAGAGATGTCTCAGTCAACAGGGCCAGCAAAGGAGGGAACTAGGGTGCCTGTCTGATCAAGGGCACAGAGGCCCAGGTCAACAGGAAATCTCTGCCCTCCTCCCTAGGAGCCTCACATCACCTGCCATCGTGAGGACCTGAGGCACCCCGCCAATGCCACCGAGGTATGGACATGTGCGCTGAGAAATGAGGCTGGGAGGGCAGCGAAGGGAAGGAGGCCTCTGACCTATGTCCTGACCCCTGGCAGCCTTGTCTTCCTGGAGCCGAGATCCACTGCCCACTTGTCTTCAGGCAGGAGATCCTCATCCAAGTGACAGCAACTGTGGAGCTGGTGGGAGACATTGAGGTAGCGCTTCCTCGCAGGTGGTGAAGGGAAGTGGTTGGGGCCTGTGGGTCTTAAGTGAAGCTGGGCTCCCCACAGATGTCTTCCCTCCATTTTTCTTTTCTATTGCGAAGGAAAATCCTCAAGTGTTTACAGTTGCAGATAAAAGAGAACAGTGATTTGTTTGAAATTTGCAGGGTGGTCTTTGTGGTCCTATATGGGCAGTCCTTATATGTTTTATGGGGAAACTTGCCCTCCAGCAGTGAGGAGAGAGACACACAAGAACGCTACAGTCACCCTGCTGGAACCTATGGTGTCTCTGCCCACTGTGTTAAGGCGGCCCTGGGTCACGGCTCTCCTGCTCTCCTGCAGGCCTCCTACATGGTCAGTCTCTGCAGCTCCCTCTCAGTCTCCTTCAACAGCAGCAGACATTTCCATCTGTATGGCAGCAATGCCTCCCTGGCCCAGGTATGTGCCACCTCAAGCCTAGGAGCGAGCACTAGAGAGCCTGAGAGACCAGGACAAGGCCACAACTGGGAGACCTGCAGGCACAAGGGGTCTCAGCCCAAGCCAGAATTTCCTTAAGCCAGAGCCATGCACTAGGGGGAAACTCCTGCTCTGCTGAGGGCAGCAACTAGACTGCAGGGTCATCTGTCTGAGCTGAGTAGTATTGTGTGTCCATCAAGAAGAATCTGATGGCAATTGAGCAAAGGGCCACCAGCCCAACAGCAAGCAGACACGGTGCTCGGAGGGGAGCATGAAGCACAGAGTCACAGTGCTGAGAGAGCAAGAGGCTGGGAGGGGGAAGGCAGGAAGCACAGCTTGGCAGACAGATGACTCTCAAAAGGGTGAGCAGAAGCCAGATTCTGGGAGTCTGTGAATGCCAAGCTGAGATTCTGGCGCTGTATCCTGGGACTCACAGGAAGCCACTGAAGTCTTGGGACTGACAGTGGTGTGTGTTGGCCGCATGACTGTGGTCACTGCCACTGATGATGCATTGGGTAGGGGGCTCTAGAGGCAGAGCCCACTGCAGCAGTAGGATCCAGGCGAGTGAGATGAGTCTGGGAAAAGAACTTCTAGGGATGGGTGGGCTCTTCCCTGCACCTGCCTACCTCTCCCCAGATCCTCACGAAGGTCGACGTGGTATATGAGAAGGAGATGCTATACGTCTACTTGCTGAGCACCATTGGAGGGATACTACTGCTGCTGATCATTTTCCTTGTCCTATACAAGGTGAGAGCTTCTGGGAGGAGTGAGCATTGCTGAGATAGTCCAGCTGGGATGGGGCACTGACAGAGCCAGGAGAACACTGAGGCCAGGAACATTAGGGCTGGAAGGGGCCTCGATCTGCCCCTTCTTTTACAGATAAGACTGCTGTGACCCACAGAGTTCATAAAGTTTTTTTACCAATCACTCAAACTAGCACTGGAAGATCCAGAACTAGGTTCCCAGGAGGTAGGGGAGAGGGCCATATACCATAGCTTCCGATGCCGGCACCTTACCAGGCCCCAGAATACAGCGGCACATGCCACAAATAAGATCCCTGCCTGTATGGAGCCACGGTCTAAGGGGGAGATGCAGGAACAAGATACACCTGGGGCCTGTTTGCTCTGGAGCCTGTACTAAAGGCACCTCACTCAGACTGCAGGCCTGGGTAGCCCCCAAGAGAGGTCCCTTTGGGCTATGGTGGGAAGGGTGAGAAGAGGTAGAGAGGAGTGGTGGGTAGATATTCCAAGCAGAATACCTCAGTATGACAGAGAAGAGAACATAAAAAATCAAAGTTTCAAACCAGACATGGCGGTGCACGCTTGTGATTCCAAAAATTGAGAGGCTGAGGCAGGGGGTATTACCTGAGTTCAAGGTCAGTTTGGACTATACAGCAAGACCCTGTCTCAAGAAAAACAAGAAGGAGAAGAAGAAAATAAAAGTTTCTCTCTGTTGTGCAGCCTTAAGGTTAAATCCAGGGCTTTCACATTGAGCTACCTACTCAGCTTCCCAGCACTTTTTAATTTTGTTTTCTTTGGAGACAAGATCTCACAAAATTTCAAGGCCAGCCTGGACTGCATAAGACCGTGTCTCAAAACAAAAGCAAGGTGGGGGTTTAGCTCAGCAGTGTAAGTGCCTACTTGACAAACACGAGTTTGATCCCCGGCACCAAAAAAAAAACCTCTGTAAATGCCCAGGCTATTGTGGTGGTCCATGCCTGTGATCCTGGTGCTCAAGAGGCTGACGCAGAATTGCTTCAAATTCGAAGCCCACCTGGGCTATAAAGTGAGGTCAGGGCCAACCTGAAGTGCATAGTGAAACCCTGCCTTTAAAATTAAAAAAAAATTTAAAAACCTGTTGAAAGAAACAGAAAAAGGTGCCAAGGATATAGCTCAGTGGCCCAGCACCTGCCTGGCAACCAGAGGTCATGAGTTTGATCTGTGGTACTAAAAAAGAAAGGGTTAAAAAATACTGCCCACACTACATGTGAACTTGTGATCCTCCCGCCTCAGCCCTCCCCTGCAAGTGCTGAGATTACTAGTATGTACCATCATGCCCAGCTATATTCCTCCAGGTTCTAATTTTTTCATCCACATATATGTGTATGTATGAGTATGAGAGGAACAGAGACGGTCATTTTACATTTCTGTGTGTGAAGAACATAGATGGAATAACACTAAGTAGACTGCCTGGAAACTTCGTTTTCACTTGATATTGTGTCTTGATGTCTTTCCATGTCACCACCATCAGCTCTTCCTAATTTTACATGTGGCAAGTTTTCTGCTGTCTGAATACCTGTCGTTATTTAAGTTCCAGCCATGGAACTATTTGTTAACATGTCATTATTTTGTGCCAGCCATGGTGGTACATGCCTGTAATCCACTTGTAGGTTGTAAAGCACTTGGTAGGTTGAGGCAGGATAATCACCTTGAGTTCAAGGCCAGTCTGCACTACATAATGAGATTCTGTCTCGAAAAAATTAATTTATCAATTAATTAATTAATTAATTTTGAGGCACATCTCCCTAAGTCACTAAGTTGCCCAGGCCATGCTCAAACTTGCAGTTCTCCTGCCTCAGCTTCCCAGAGATTGGAAGTGTGCCACCATGCCAGGCTCAGTACATAAAATTCTTTTTTTTTTTTAATTTTATTTAAGGAGAAAAAAGAAAAAAACAGAAAAAGCGTACAAGTTATACAGAATTTTAGAAAAAAATAAACAGTAGGAAATCACTAGTTAATTACATATTGTCATCTTAGAAATAGTTGTTGAAGTTACAAAATTAAAGCATATAGAGGGGACTTTCAAACAGTGAGACTGCAAACAGTTTTGTTCAATGATCCAACAAAACTCAGTAATATGGTTATCTATCTTATACACTTAAATATATATGCAGTTATATCTTTTAGAGAACTTTCTTTTCCTTTCTTTTGTACAATGACAATCACACATTTTGGGTTTTATTACTCCCACAGTTCTTATTACTTTTTTTTTGAAGAAAGTAAAACCAAATGTGACATACCAGGACAGAGTCAGTCAAATCAAAAGGATGGACATAATACATAATGTGAAAACAAAATACAAGGTGATCAACAATGGTTACCATAATGCCTCTTGTTATCTTAAAAAGAATTGCCTATATCATCAGTTATAATAAAATTGAACAAAACAGTAAAGAATAAGACCAATAAAACCAAAACATTGGAGACATTAGAGGACTTCAAAAGAAGATAATAGTCAACCAGAATGGGCATCACAATGAATCTTATTGTCTTCATAGTTGTTGCCTATACTTTCAAACTTGGTACTATCAAGCATAACAGATTAGAGAAAAATCAGTCAAAACAAGATGGTGAGAGCAATATAGAGTTTCAAATCAAGTTAATAGGAAATCAAAGTGGGTTACTATAATATATCCTGCTATTTTTTATTTTTCCCTTAATTAAAAGGATAAAAATGAAAAAGTAGATAATAAAAAGGAAATTGAGATAAAAAAGAGGGCATAACAACAAAACAGCGCAGGTCAAAACATAGCCATTTAAGCAAAATAGGGTTTCACCACAAGATAATCTCGACATAATTGTAGTTACCATAGTGTCTCTTCCCTTAAAATCTTTGGGTATAACTTCGTATACTGTAGCATCAAACTTATCAAGACAATGTAAAACCGTTCAAGAGAATGACAGTATTACAGGATATTTGGAATCAACTAACAGAAAATGAACAATGGTTTCTGTATAATCTCCTTGTCTATAAAAGTTTTTGTTTATATTATCACATATAATAAAATCCAATAAGATACAACACGTTAAAACCGATGGAGACAGAAGAACAAACGCTTGATGGGACTTCAAAACAAGAGGATATTAAATCAGCACTACCTATTATTATGTCTTGTTTTCTCCAAAATGGCTGTTCCTACCATCCAACCTTCTCTGCCTCATTTCTGTTGAGCTCTTTTTCTGTCACTAGTTGTCAGTTTGTCTTCTTCATTTCGCTTTCTGCTCCATTCATTGTGGCCTCTCTGCCACTGATCTTGGTATTTTTCTTTTTTTAGAATGTCCTGCAGTATTCTCTGTAGAGTTGAATTGTGGTTGCAAATTCCCCTAGTTCCTCTTTATCCTGGAAGCACCTTGTTTTCCAACAATTTCTAGGGACAGTTGTGCAGGATATATCGATCTTGGCTGGAGGTTATTATCTTTCAAAGCTTGAATTATTTCCCCCCATGCTCTTCGTGATTTGATGGTTTGTGCCAAGAAGTCTGCTGTAATTCTGATGGGTGTTCCCTTGTAAGTGATCTGTTTCTTGTCTTTGATGGCTTTTAATATTCTGTTCTTATATTGGATTTCTGGAATTTTGATTATTATATGCCTGGGTGTAGCTCTGTTTGGGTTGTAGGTGGCTGGAGTCCTATATGCCTCATACATCTGAGTATCTTTACCTTTTGCTAAATTAGGGAAATTCTCCTGGATTATTTCTGTGAATAGCTTTTGTAGTTCATTTGTTTGAGTCCCTACTTCTTCTTTTATGTTCTTAATTCTTAAGTTATAAATCCTCTTATCATCTTCTAGTCTTTGTATTATTGCTGTTTGTTTTCTTGTTATTTTTAAGAAGTTTTTCATTTCATGCTCCCACCTTACAAATCTGTCCTCCAGTTCTGATAATCTATCCTTAGTTTCTTTCAAGGTGTTATGCCAGCTTTCAATAGAGTTTTTAGTTTCCTGGTAATCTCTTTGAACCTGCTTCACATATTCTATGTTTTCTCTATTTTCTTCATCAAACAATTCTCCCCTTTTTTTCTGTTCTTGCATTCCACCATCTGTTGTTTCTTGGGCGGTGCTTAGCATTTCTCTAACTGTTCTACTTATTTCTTGCTTTATTTCATTAAATACTTCATTTTTGAACTCATCTATGAGGCTCCGGAGATACCGCTTTATGTCTATAGGTGCCATGTTTGATATTGCATGTTTTCTGTCTTCATTCTCTTTTGCATTTACCTTTCTTGCATCAGTGTTCTCAGGATTGGGGACTGAGGACCCTTTCTTGTTGCTCCCTTTTCCCATACTTTTGTTCCTTCCATACAAGCGTATGTAAGAGGCCCAGTTTTTTTTTTTTTTCTCTTTGTCTGTTACAGTTTGTTTGAATCCATGGACTAGGTGTTCCTGCCCACTGCAGTGTACTAGGGAGACACAGACCTGGGCAGCCTCTGCTGGGCCCGCCCCTCCAGGTCAACCTACTGAATGCTTCACTGCTAGGGTGCACCTCCAGGTGCAGGGACCTGATTTGGGCTAGCCTACACTGGATCTTACTCCGTGGTGTCACCAGACCAAACGCCCCCCACCAATCCCACTTGAGGGGAATATGTGACTAAAGTCACTGCAGGGTCCTGTTCCGGCTAATCTGCTCGTTCCCAGAATGTCCTCTGTTGGAGCCTCCTAGTCTATGAAAAGGTCCCCATTTTTCTCACTCACCCCAGGTCGATGCAGGGCTCCCTGCCAGTCCCGCTCTCAACACCATTTGGTTTGCCGAGTCCGCTCTCAGAGCTTTGGCGCACCTCTCTCCCTGCCGTGTGGATTGGGACGCAGTATCGGCAGCAGGAAATTCAAGTCGCAGCTTCCAATGGCGCGGGATCCAGCTTCCACAATGAGATTTTATCTGTTCCTGTTATAGCATCAGGATTGCATTTCCAGTTGGTTTCTCTCAGCTTAGTTCGTTCCTGGGTTGGCAGGGTACATCTCCCCTCACGTAGGACTCCTCACACGGCACCGCTCCTGGATTCTAAACTGGTAATCTCAGAGAGCCTCTGTGGCTGCTGTTATTTGTCCACCATGTTCTCCCAGAAGTCAGTACATAACATTCTGATAAGCCTAAAGAATGAACTATTAGGGACTGGGGATTTAGCTCAGCGGCATAAGCGCCTGCCTTGCAAGCAGGCAGTTGTGAGTTCAATCCCTGGTACCGATAAAAATGAAAAGACCAAAAAGAAAGAAAAAAAAAGAATGAACTACTAAATGTAAAGCTTTTAAAAAATTTTTCCAAGATTTCTTTCATTCTAAAAACCACGTGTGCCAGTGCCTTCCCCCACCCCTGAGGCAAAAGCCCAGTGACTGTAGCCCATGTGACATTGTGCTTTCACATGTTGCTAGATGGGCTGGTTACAATGCTGCCTGTGTGTCTTACTACAGTTTGGCTTCTTCAAACGGAACCTGAAGGAGAAGATGGAGGCTGACGGAGGTGCCCTCAATGGGACCCCTAGAGAAGATGATGGGCCTTTCACAGTGTCTGGAGAGAAGGCCACGGATCTGGACTGTCTAGAGCCTCTCCATGGGGAAGAGGTTCAGGATGGAGGACTCAAAGACTGAGGCCCAGGCCTGATGCACAGAAGGCCTAGAAAGATGCGTAAGGTCAGTCAGCCTCAGCCTGCACCTCAGTATGTGTCTTCAGGCAAGTCATTGCTCCCCCTCAGACTCAGTTTCCCTGTCTTGAGCACAGAGGTCCCTCCTGCCGTGTTCTCTGTAGGCTCATAGTGAGAATCTGATGAGGGATGGCAATAAAGCCACAGAGGTGAGGCCTTGGCAGCATTAGATGGTGCTGCCTCCCACCAGCCTGCCTTGGTTTTCTCCCCTGGATGAGAACGTCCAATCGAAGTTTGGAGAAGCTATAGTGCAAGAACCTAGTGATGCTTCACTGCTCCCTTGGCCTCCCTGAAGCTGCCCTCTAATTCTCTCCTGCCTGGAGTCCAGTCCTGAATTCTGCTGGGGAGAGTAAGTCCTATCCATGTCACTGCACTGGGGCTCTGAAAGCTTTGCCCTTTGGCCTAAGACCAACTTTCTTGCTAAGTCTTCCAAGTCCTGCAAAACTGCAGGTTTCTCTGCCCCTCCTGGAGATGTCCCACCCCTTCCGGGCTCCAGCAGCACTGGCCTTGCAAACTACCAGCTCCTTCTTTGCTGCATTCACCACAGTGGCCCCTGACCTTTCCCAGCATCTTGGCATTCACACCATTGTCCACTCCCCAGCTCAGTTGGGTTCAAGCATTTTCGGACTTGAAGCCTGCACTTGGCCCTTGTCTTCATGGTTATGTTTATACAGTGTTTAATGATTTAATTTCTCTTTCTCAAACAGTGAACTCCATAAGGATAAGGAGTTCATCCCTGTCCTATTTGCCTTGGGACCCCTGATGATATCACACAGCCAGGCAATAGGTGCTTGACACAGTTCCACTGAATGGATGACTGAGTCCTTGGGAAGATACAGAAAGTGAGGGCTCTGGTGAGGGCCCTGGTTCTGTAGCCTCTTCCAGGCTCCTTCCCACCCTGCTCAGTCACCCCCAGAGACAGAGTTCAAAATGGGAATAAATCTGTTCACTTAGAGCCCCAGGACCAAGCACAGTGCCTGTACATACTTATCCAATGATTATGAAACTCAGTCCAGTTTTGTTTTTGTATTAATGCAACATTCCAGCCTGGCTCAATTAAATAAACATTTCCCTTTCAATCCTCTTACTAAGGGGGGCCCAAGTAGTAGCCTTCTGCTTCTCCCTTTTTTTCCTGTTATTTTTTATGGTAACCCCTAGATACTGACTTGCAGCCAACATTGTGAGATAATTCAAAAATAAAGCAGAGAAGCCAGGCGTGGTGGCACAGACCTGTAATGCAAGTGTTCAGGAGGCTGAGACAGGAGAACTACTTTGAGTATGAGGCCAGCCTGGGCTACACAAATTCAAGGCTAGCCTGAACTACATAATGAGACCCCATCTCAGAGACAGAGAGAGCGAGAGAGAGAACAAGAGAAAAAGTTAGGATGACTTGAAAATTCCTTGTGATAGAGTACAAGGGGTTATGGTTGCCTGGCATGCCTGAGGCCTTAGCTTTAATCCTTGTATGGACCCTCTTTACCTGTTATTTAAAGGAAGGGTGGAAGGGGGCGTGATCCTAGCCAGGGCTGTAACTCAGCGTCTTAAGCGCCTACCTGGCAAGTGTAAAGTCCTGAGTTCAGTTCCTAGTATGGAAAACAGTAAGAAGAAAGAAAGGGGAGTGCTAGCCACTGCTGCCCTCACGTGGTCATCAATAGGATCCCCCCCCCAAGAAATATTTAATGACTAAGGCCAGTTCCTAGTCTAGCACTGTGGGGAGGGAGAGTGCTCCATCCATATGAGACAGGCAATGACCTTTGACAGCCCCTTCCTGGATATAAGAAGTGCATAAACATTCAGGGCCTGATGTGCATGACATGTGAGAGTCCTTCAAAGCCTGCAGCCTCTCCAGGCTCACCCGATACTGTCTTAGTCTAGCCCCTAGGAGCCACGGGGCTGGCTCACAAGCAAGACATGAAAGAAGTATGGCAGTTTCTCCCTGTCTGGTATATCACGTAACTAATAACAGCACATGAAATGACCTTTACTTAGGTGTCATGAAACATAAGTCAGGTTCTGTTCCTTCAGTTATTTTTGAATGCTTTGTGTCAGGTCCTGCTTTGGCCCTGAAGATAAAATGGTGAAAAAGACAAGTCCCTGTTCTCAGGACCTTTTGTTCCAGTGGAAAAACAGTACACAAGTTTGTGTGTTTGTGTTTTTCACACTGGGACTGAACCTGGGGCCTCACACCTGCTAGGGTATTTTGAGTTTTTGAAAGTGCTGAAATACCATCACTAAGTTACCCAGGCTGGCCTCAAACTTGTAATCCTCCTTCCTCAGCTTCCCAAGTAGCTGAGTTCACCACACCATCCATTTTTCTTACCTGTGAAACAGAATAAGTAAATTTGCACTGCCAGCTACTTAATAGGCATTATTCCCTAACTGGGTATGGTGGCACATGCCTAGATTTCCAGCACTCCAGAGACAGGAGAAAAATCACTGTGATTTCGAGGCCAAGCTCTGGTCACATAGTGAGTTTGAAGCCAGCTTGAACTACATAGTGAAAATGTGTCTCAGAAAATAAGTAAAAACATGCCCAGCAATGATTAATTCTCTAATCAGGTTATACAATACACTCCACAGACCCATTGATGGCACTAACTCCCTATCCATTCCTGAGGGCGGGACATGACACCCCCACCAATCCATACAGGGATCCTAAAAAGGAAGCAGAACTGTGGCAAATCAGGCTTAGAATGAAGGAATCAGGCCTGGCAGCATGGTCCGGCCCTCATGCACAATCAGATCATACCTGCTACAGCTAGGCATACAGCCCAGTGGTACTGCATTTGCCCAGCATGCAGGAGGCCCTGAGCTCCATCCTCAGTGCCACAGGCATAAGAAATCTGTCCCTTGCTATGGGTGAGGTTGGGGCTGCAGATACCCACTCTTATCTCAGAGCATGGAGATATGCACAAGGAGATAGCTGTGGTTCCAGTTTGGGACGCTAAGAATAAAGGAGAGATCAGAATCGGGGTCTATTTTCTGGCCCAACGGGAGATCCTCTGTGATTAGGAAGTAGGAGCTCCACAAATTTGTGGTAGCACAACCTTCCATACTGGGGGTGGAGGACCTCTTCTGAGTCTGTGCAGCATGGAAAGCATGGGACGTGAATAGATATGGGCAAATCACATCACCTGAACTTCAGATGAGGTGATTCAATAAATAAATAACTACATAAAAGCACTTTACAGCTGGGCATGGTGGCATACACCTGTAATCCCAGCATTTGGGAGACTAAGGCAGGAGGATCACCATGAGTTCAAGGCCACCCTGCACTAGTAAGACCCTGCCTCAAAAAAAAAAAAAAGAAAAAGAAAAAAGGCCCTGGGTTTAATCCTTTAAGGGACTTCCTAGTTAAGCCCTGAGACTTTACTGGCCATTCACGGTTATGATGGGCATCTCCCACTGCCAAGGACACTGTCCACACACACATTTTAAGGACAAGTATTTTTTATCACATAAAGGCTTTTATTGAACTCAAATTCAGGGGCTCCAAAGCCTGAGGAAGACAAGGCAGGCTTGGGGTTTGCATTCAGAGGTGCAGACCCTACCCCAGGGCTCCTCTTCCCACTCTACCTACCCCTTCCCTCCTTCCTGACTCAACAAGGGTCTCAGAATCTACCAATCTAAGCTACCCCACTCTAACTGACCCTCCCTCTCCCACCCCCCTCCCCATCTAGCACTTTGCTAAGCTAGGCACCAACCAAGGAGCATGCTGCTGCCAGCCAGCTCCCTGCTGACCTCTTTCTGGATCTCTCCCACAGCCTCCTGCTGCCCGTTTGGCCGCCCTCCAACACCTCTTCATAGCCCATTTCCCAAAAGTCTCCAGGGTATGTAACTTCCTGCACTCTGGCTCCTCTTCTAGAATGTTCAACTCCATTCCTCATTGGCTCCCCACTATCCTCTCTAAAAGTTTATCTAGCTTCCTGTTCCCTTCTCCTCTAGCCACTACCTCCCCACCCGTGCTGGGCTGAGTCAGCGGCGGCCAGCTGCGTGGGTCCGCTGATGGCGGATGAGGTCAGAGCTCTGGGAGAAGGCCTTCCCACAGTCATCACACTTGTAGGGCCGCTCCCCGCTGTGGACACGGTGGTGCTGCAGCAGCGTGGAGGAGCGGCAGAAGCCCTTGCCACACACAGCACACCTGTAGGGCCGTTCGCCTGTGTGTGAGCGCTGGTGCTGAATCAGCGTAGAGGAGCGATTGAAGGTCTTGCCACAGTCGGGGCAACTGTAGGTGCGGCCTGGTAGGTGGGTGCGAGCATGGATGGCCAGCACAGAGCTCTGGCCAAAGCGCTTGCCGCACTCCGGGCACTTGAAGGGCTTCTCCCGGGCATGGCTGCGGGCATGGGGGATAAGTGCTGACCGCTGGGAGAAGCTCTTGCCACAGATGCCACAGCTGAAGGGCCTTTGCCCGGTGTGCACCCTCTGGTGGCTGCGCAGCGATGAGTTCTGGCTATAGCACTTGCCGCACTCAGGGCAACTGTAGGGCCGCTCGTGGCTGTGGGTGCGTTGGTGCCGCAGGAGGTAGGAGCTGTCGCCAAAGGCCTTGCCACAGTGGGGGCACTTGTAGGGCTTCTGGCCAGAGTGGGTGCGCTGGTGGCGAAGTAGGTAAGAGCTGTCAGCAAAGGCCTTGCCACATCGGGGACACTTGTAGGGCCGCTCGCCGGTATGGGTACGCTGGTGTTTGATGAGGTCAGAGCTCTGGGAAAAGGCCTTGCTACAGACCTCACATTTATAGGGCTTCTCACCCGTGTGGATGCGCTGGTGCTGGATGAGGGTGGAGCCCCGCCCAAAGCTCTTCCCACAGATACCACAGATATTAGGCCGGGGACCCTGCCCACCCCTAGCCCGGCCACCTCTTCGGCCCGGACCCCGAAGGGCCCCTGTCAAACCCAGGGGATTCTGGAGCATCTCAAACTGAGGTGACGACAACAGGGCTCCTGTAGGCATCTCAAAAGGTGGCCCTAGGGGCAGGGCACCTGTTGGCTGCTCCCCAAATTCCTGAGTGAAGGAGTCCAGGGGGTGAACTCCTAGGGGAACACTTAAGGGATTCTTTTCCTCAGTGTTCAGAAGCATCTCTGCACCTTCTTGGAATTTGGAACTTTGAGCTTCAAATTCAGGGCTTTGAGTTTTGAACTCGGGATTCTGGGGTTCAATTCCAGGGTTTGGGGATTCATACCTGGAACTTTGAGACTCAAATTCAGTGTTCTGGGATATATACCCAGGGCTCTTGGGTTCATACCCAGGGCTTTTGGGTTCATACCCAGGGCTCTTGGGGTCATAGCCAGGGCTTTGGGGTTCATACCTAGGGCTTTGGGGTTCAAAGTCAGGGCTCTGAGGATCTGACTCAGGGCTTCGGGGTGCAAATTCAGGGCTTGGGGGCACAAATCCAGGGCTTCGGGACTCAAACCCTGGACTTTCAGGCTCAAACCTGGGGCTTTGGGATTCAAATTCTGGGCTTTGTGGTTCAAACCCAGGGCTTTGAGGGTCAAGCCCAAAAGGTATCTCTTCAACTTCATAGTCCCCATTGGCTTCTTGCTGAGAAATTTCCTCTTCCTCATTCTCATTCGTGTTGCCTGCAGGATCAGAGAATTACAAAAAATCCAGATTGTGTGGGGGCCTGGAAGGTCATTTGGTCCATTAGTTGCGACAAACCTCTCCCCACTCCCCACGCGGGTCGCTGGCCCTCATGCAGGTGCTGAAATTCTCAGTCTTTGTAGGCCGACCCAGGAGACCCTGTCCCCACCCTACCCCCAAGACCCAAGTGTCCAAAGACCCCTTTCCCTCCTACAGAGCACAACCCATTCTTCCGCTCCCATTACACTCCTCGGAGAAGTAATCCCTCCCTCACCTTTGAGGGACTCTTCAGGGCTCCCTATTTCATCAGGACTGGGCACATCGCGGGGCTCGAGGCCCCACGGCGACGCTTCCCGCTCCATCCCCTCCAGCTCCCAACGCAGCGGCGGTGGCGACAGCGGACGATCCTGCGACCCGACCTGAATGCCCTGAGCCCCGGGCCCCCGCCTCTCGCCCGCTCAGCGCCGCCCAGGGGATCCGGCTGCCCAGCCCGGGGCTCCGAGGCCGGACGTCTTGACCCTGGGCCTCTCCGACCCGCCGGGCCCCTCCCCTCCCCGCAACCCCGCCCCCTCCCAAGGTCTCGACTTGTCCTACGGCCCTCACGGACCCCACGCGTTGGGACCGCGGGGATAAGGAGCTTCACTACTCGTCCGCAACCCCTGGCCACCGCTCCACGCCTGAGACCCAGCCGTGTGGCCCCAGCCCCCCGACTAGGCTGCGGCTCTCCGACCCCCTCCCCCCAGCACAGGAAGTGTCCGTCCGCGGCCAGTTCCCCCCACTGGCTAGCGCCGCGGCCTCTCTAGGAGTAGATGGAGGTGGAAACTCGTTGGCATTAACCCTGGGCTGGATGGCCCCGGCGTTGGAGAGAGGGAAGACCCAGCGCCCTGGAAACGGCGGGAGGGTCTGGGGCAGTTTGTGTGCCCACGTCCTGGGTCTCCCTCTCTCCAGGGACCTGGCTGTAGATCTCCCAGGCCCCGTGCCTCTCAGTGCATGTAGAAAGGGCGAGGCGACAAGCGAGACCAAGGTCAGCGAGAAGGAGCGACGCTTCCCGGCGCCAGTGGGGCGGTGTCTAACTCCTCTTCCTTCTAGGTCAGCCCCAGTCGCGCCTCCGGAACCTAGACGGACTCCCTTTTGGCTTCATAGAGGCTCTCGAGCCGAAGCCCCCCTTGTTGACCTACAGTTCCCAGTAAGGGCGCGCTCAGTCCCATTACCCTGGTCCCCGCCCAGCTCGCTCCTCTGAACAGCACCTCCCCACCGTTTAGGGTTAGGATTGTTGCCAAGGAGACAGCCCCGCCTTTGATCTCCAGAGGCACCACCCGTCTCTGGCAGTAAGCTCAGCGATTGGCCAATGGGCGGTGCTCTCACCTCCGACTCCTCCTATAACTCAGCCAGGGAACGGCGAGGCACCTTGCTGATTGGCCGAAGGCTCTCAGACCGCCACAAGTGCAGGCTAGACTGAGCACGAGGGAGGTGTCAGGCGTCTTCTCGACCTGTGCTTTTAAAACTTTTCCCATTCATTTGCCCTCCATTATGTTTTATCTTCCTAAAGAATAAAAAACAAGAGATCTGAAGATAGCATTCCTTTTCCTGTCACCCCCTTTGCTCCTGCCCCCGTAACTTTCCCACGGAGCAGTGCAGAGATCCTCCTTCAGAGAGGAAGCACTTGTTTTCTATTAGCAGGTCTTTCCCTTCCACCTTCGCCAAAAGCTAAGCCACATTCAATCCCTACTGGCCTTAATCCCAGAAGAGTTGGAGGAGGGCAGGGCCAGATGGAGAATGAACTATTTGGCCTTTAGGCATCTTAAAGCCTCTGACTTGAATGGAGGTTCACAGAGGAAGTGGACCTGAGAGCACAGCTTTGAGCCGTTTTTTTTTTTTTTTTTTTTTGTCTTTTTAAGACAGAGTCTCGCTATGCCATTTAGGCTATCCTTGAGCTCATTTTGTAACCCAGGCTGGTCTCAAACTTGCAAGGATCCTCTTGCCTTCACCTTCTGAGTGCTAGGATTACTGACATGAGCCTCCATACCTGGCTTTCTGAGTGCATTTTTGAACATAGGAGAAAGTGACCCTGAAAAGACAATTTAATTATCGTCCAATCTTGTCTTTTCTATCGTTAGTACAGAAACAAGTTTGGCAGCATTCTTGATAGCCAAATTCTCTTGTGTGAATGATGCAGCAGCCAGGGGGTTATGTGTTTTCATGTTCCCTAGCCAGACATATGAAGGAAAGAAATGTTTGGAGGGAAAGATTGCATCTTCCTTTCTCCTGAAAAAAAGATGAGAACAATAATTTGAAGAATGTCAAGTGGTTAAGGGCTGGGGGAAAAAAAACACCACTTTAGATGCTTACAAAAATGGAATTATGGCTAGGTGTGGTGACATGCACCTGTAATCCCAGCATTAGGGAGGCTGAAGCATGAGGATCACCATGAGTTAAAGGCAGCCTGGGCTACAGAGTGAGTTCAAGTCCTGCCTGAACTATGTAGCAGGATCCTATCTCAAAACAAAAACAAAAACAAAACAAATGGAGTCACAGATGTCTTTCCACAAATGAAGTAGGGAAACCTTTCTGTCCTCCAGAGGAACAGCATCCAGATCTAAGCCTCTCTCCTATCACAGGATCTGTCCTCAAATCTTTCCTCTGAGATTGGCTGTCATGGCCAATCCCTAGAGATTGGACAGAGGACCCCCAGAGAATGCCCTACAAAGTATACTGATTATTGAAAAGCTAGCCATGGAGTACTTTCTAGTCATTCCCAAACTCATATAAGCAAGTTTCCTTGATAATTTTCTCTGGCTCCAAACTTGCTTAGCCAATCATTATGACTGATACATTGTGTCAACTTGAGAAGTTTAGAAGCTTAACTAAGAGACTCAGCAGCCAGCCAGGACTCTTACTTGGTATACATTCTCATCCTGTGCAGAGGGCAAGGAGATTTTGTGAGTGTTACACCCAAGTTGGAAATAGAGGATGGCCTGTGTTACTATATAAAGGGAAGATGCTTGTTCTGCCCCCTTTTACTCTGGCTGCTTTTGCTAGCTGCTGCCTTGAAGTGTTGCCCCAGTGCCATGCCACCAGCTGATTATAGACTGAAACTTCCACAAACTGTAAGCTAAATAAACCTTTCCTGCCTTCATTTGGGAGTGCCAGGTATTTTGTCCCAGCAATAAGAGAAAAGTAACCAAGCCATCACCAGAAGAAAATTCACCCAGGATCCATACCCCACAGCCTGTGGGGCCTTCAGCTAACCTCTGACATGGGCCACAGCTTATGACCTTCCCAGAATGAGCCACAAGTCCCAAGTGTGACAGAAGTTGGACCGGGACTTTAGCTCCTCAGTGCCAGCATTTGCACATGGAAATTCAGCTTCCCTGTACCTAAAGGGACAGTGGCTGACTTTTAGCCAGCACCTTCTATCTCTAGCCCTATAACCAACCTAACAAGAAAAACTTGAGAGTCTTCTGGCTGTATCCTACTGCTATGTCCATAAGAGGGGGAGCCCTGTGCAGGTTTCAAGGCAAGGGTTCCCTTTGTCCCCAGGATCAACCCTGGGTGTGCAAGAGTCCAGGGACATAGTTATTCAGTGAACAGATAAGGCCTATGTAGAGTTCAGTCAACTTAGGTAACAGGCTAGAGCCCTACTAGAGAGTTCTCAGTATATGAGAGACCTCTGCATAAACTGCTCCTTCCTGCATGCAAAGGACAAGTGAGATGATGGAAGAGATGCCCAGTAATTAGCATGATTTGGGATATCCAGGAAAAGATCAACCAAGGCACAGGTCCCCTTAGGAAAAAAAAAAGAAATGAAGGTCTTTGTTCATGGGTAGGTCTTCCTCTGGCCTGACACACTGGGGACAGGCCATGGACAAATCACTACTGCTGCAAAATTAAAATCAGCTAGAAAAGGACATTTTGTTCAGAGCAGAGTTTTCTAAAATATTGCCCTGGAAATGCTGATTCAACAGGGTAGGGGTAGAGCCAGGAGGCAAGCTATAATTTTTTTAATTCCATGTAATAAAATATAGCTTGGTGGCAGTACAATACAGTAGGAACACTTTACTTTGAAAATATAATTGGAAGCCGAGCGTGGTGGCACACGCCTGTAATCCCAGCACTCAGGAGGCTGAGGTGGGAGGATCGCTGCGAGTTCGAGACCAGCCTGAGCTACAAAGTGAGCTCAAGGCCGGCCTGAACTGCATAGTGAGAGCCCATCTCAAAAAAGACAAAAAAAAAAAAAAAAAAAAAAAAGAAAGAAAGAAAAAAGAAAATATAATTGGAAGTTGAGGCAGAATTATCACAAATTCAAACCCAGAGTGAGCTATGGTCGTACATCTATAGTCCCAGTACTCAGGAGGCTGAGGCAGGAGGATTGCTATGAGTTTGAGAACAGCCTGGGCTACATAGTGAGTTCAAGGCCAGTCTGAACTACACAACAAGACCCTGCCCCAAAAAAGAAGAAAAAAAAAGTTCTAGCCCAACCTGGGCAATTTGGCAATTTAGTGAGATTTTGTCTCTAAAAGAGAAAAGGTTTGGAGATCTACCTCAGTCTGAAGGCCCTGAGTTCAAACTCAAACTTGTTCAGATCTGTTCTGCTTCCTCTGATTCAACCAACCATAATCAAAAATGTTTTTAAAATGTCATCTGTAAGGGGCTGGGGATTTAGCTCAGCGGCATAAGTGCCTGCCTTGCAAGCAGGCAGTCGTGAGTTCGATCCCTGGTACCAGTAAAAATGAAAAAGACAAAAAATAAATAAATAAAATAAAATGTCATCTGTAGTGAAGATGTACAGACTTCTTTTGACAATATTCCCCTAAACAATACAATAGAACAATGATTTTCATAGCACTTGCATTATATTAAGTATTTTAAGTAATCTAAAGATTATTTAAAGTATATGGTAGGGTATATATAAATAATACACAAATACCATGCCATTTTATGTAAGGGACTTGACTTTCTCAAATTTTTGATATCCAGAGGGATCTGAAACCAAACCTCCACAGATACTAAGAGAAGACTGTCGTGGCATAGCGAGGATTTCACTTCCTTTGATCATAAACATTTTTGTGCATCATTTCATAAAAAGACATTATAAATAAGCAAGTGGGGAAATGGATCCTGTGGAGCATGAATTAACACCTACTCTGTGTGTGTGTGTGTGTGTGTGTGTGTGTGTGTGTGTGTGTGTGTAGGTCTATGGATTAAATTCAAGGAATTTATACCAAGCTGCATCTCCAACCAGTTTTTTATTTTTGAACAGGGTCTCACTAAATCTCTAAACTGCCCAGGTTGGGTTTCAACTTCCAACTTCCAATCCTCCTGCTCGTCACACTTAACAGCTACTCTTTTTTTTTTTTCCTTTTGGTACTGGGAATCAAACTTACAGCTTCATGCTTGCCAGGCAGGTACTTATGCCACTGAGCTAAATTCCTGGCCCAACAGCTACTCTTTTGTTTTTGTTTTTTGTCTTTTTCCTTTTTACCAGTACCAGGGATCGAACTCATGACTGCCTGCTTGCAAGGCAGGTGCTTATGCCGCTGAGCTAAATCCCCAGCCCCTGTTGTTTTGTTTTTGTTTTTGTTTTCTTTGTGTGTATGCTAGGAAGCAAACACAGGACCTTGTACTTGCCAGGCAGGCACTTGTGCTGCTGAGCTATATCCCTGCCCCCTAATAGCTACTGTTAAGTGGGCTGTTCAACCAGGGATGGGCAGAGTGGTCATGGCCTTTATTTCTCACTCTGGCTGCCCATTGAGATGAGACTTATTTTTTTTTTAAACAGAATCTCTCTATGTATTCAGGCTGACATCTAGCTCACTGTGTAGCCCAGGCTGACCTCGAACTCACAGCAATCCTCCCACCTCAGCCTTCTGTGTATTGGAATTACATGCATGTGCCACTGTGCCTGGCTACATGGAGTTATTTTGTGTAGTTCAGATAAGTGTTTCTCCCAATGCAGCAATGAACTATAGGAAAACACTCTTCCTGGCTTCCATTACTGTATTTCTGGGGCTGAGCTTCAAAGACAGGTGGTAGCAGACAAGGGAGTCCTACTCTTTGATGGGAGTATTCATGCCAGGAAAAGAGCAGCTGAGAAGGAGAGCTGAAATTCAAGTTTCATCACCCTAACCAATTAAATGATAGCTGGGTGGTGAGAGCAGGAAGCAAGAGTGGAGCCTGGTTTCTGAGCCGTGAGCAAGCTGTCCAAACTTCAAAGCACTCAGAAATGTTTAAATAGCAATTATGGTACCTTTAATTGGCAAGCCAGGGGCAGGGACCAGATCTGGTTTCGAGTGTGAGCTGAGAACCGGTGTTGCAAGCTAGGCTTTCCCCAGGCAGTGCTAAGGGGCTGGGGCTCTGTGCTAAGAATAACAAGCTGGTCCAAAGGTAACTGCCAAGACACCTCTTTTGCCCAGTATCCCCGTTCTCATAAGGCAGCAGTGAGCTAATCTCCCTAGAAAAATTTAGGATGAGGTCCTAGTGGGGTTGAATTTGAAGATTAGTTTCAGTTAAATTTGCTACTTCTGGATTTAGCTCAGCGGTATAAGTGCCTGCCTTGCAAGCAGGCAGTCATGAGTTCAATCCCTGGTACCAATAAAAAAGACCAAAAAAAATTCTTTAAAAAAATTTGCTACTTCAGCCTAGAATTTAGCTCTGTGGCATAGGCACCTGTCTAGCAAGCACAAGGTCATGAGTTTGATCCTTGGTACCAATAAATAAATAAATAAATAAATAAATAAATAAATAAAGCTACTTTACCTGAATAGTGTCTTTTCTCCAGACATTTGCGGGGGGAGGGAGGGCAACCGGGATCAAACTCATGTTCTCACACCCGCCACATAGGCACTTACACTGCTGACCTAAATCTCTGGCTGTCTCCAGACTTTTGACCTCCTTTGAAGTTTCTCCAGATTGACATCTAGTTTTCTCGTTGTTTGTTTGCTTGTTTGTTTGTGGTGGTGCTAAGGACTGAACTCAGGATTTGTGCACTGAGCTACATCCCCAGTGTTTATTTTTAAAACAGCATCTGGAACTGGGAATGGTGGCACACATCTGGAATCCCAGCAACTGGGAAGCTGATGCAGGAGGATTGCTTCAAGTTTGAGACCAACCTGGACTACACAGTGAGTTCAAAAAAGGCCTGAAATACATAGGGAGACCCTGTCTCAAAACAAAACAAAAAAATACCTAGCATCACATTAAGTCACTGACTGCTCAGTCCAGGTTCAAACTAGTGATTTTTTTGCCTCAGCCTCCCAGAGTGCTGGGATTATAGGCATGTGCCACCAGCATTTCTGGTTTCTTCCTCTTTAAAATAGGTCAGACACAGGGCTGACACTGGTGTACAAGCAAAAGCATACCGGCCAATAGAGGACATCAACCCTTTACTACTCCTGGATATGTTATCCCAACCTCAGCAGAACAGGATCCACCGAAGGCTGACTGCTTCTACCATCTGCACAAAGCTGGACTCTGACCACAAAGGAATTAGTGGTAGATGGATAATGGAGTCAGTCACAAGGTAACAGGGGATTCTGTACAGAATTTGGGAGCACAGATCATAAAGTTCCCTCTGTCTGCAAATCTCATCTGAAAAGTTCCTGGCATGGACATTTTGTTCACAATGGTACCAAAACAAAGTAAAGATACAATGTTTACTTTTGTTTGCCTTGCAACTCTTATCAAGCTGGGTTTTTTCTTGCCCTGGGTCTTTCCTGTGGCTGTCCTATCAGAACCATGTGGTGCTGGAGGTATGGCCACCCATCCAAGTCTGGATCTGGGTGTAATCACAGGTCACAGGGACAGAGCATTGGCTAAGAGGCTGGCAAGGATCTTAGGAATGCTATGGAAATAGCCATAGCAGTGGCATGTGCCTGCAGTCCTAGGTACTCTGGAGGTTGGGGCAGAAGGACTTCTTGCGTAAGAAGTTTGGGGCCAGTTTGGACAACATAGTGAGAAAAAAAAAAAAAAGCAGGCATGGTGATGGTACACACCTATAATCCCAGTACTTTGGAAGCTGAAGCAAGACCCTCTCAATTTCCCCCTCCCCACCAAAACAAAGTTGGGGACAGTGGTGCCCATCTGTAATCTCAGCTCCACAAGAGACTAAAGTAGTAGACTGCAAGTTCCAAGCTAGACTACACAATTTAGGGAAACCTTGAAACCCTGTTTCAAAATACAGTAAGTCCCTGACTTGTGAGCTCCGTTCCTAGATTCTGTTCATCAGATTTGTAGGCTGAGAAAGTGAATCTTCTACAGTATACCCATTAAAGTTCACAACTCAAACATTTGCAAATCGGAATTACTGTAAATTTTACACTTCATCTTAGCCAAAAGGCCAAGAACGATTCAAAATAAAAATTTTAAAAGGGCTGGCAATGTAGCTCAATGTAAAGGTACTGGGCTCAATCCCTAGTTACACAAAAAAATGAAATAAAAAATAACTAGCTGGGCATGGAGCCTAGCAGTAGAGTAGTTGCCTAGTCTGTGCTTTAAAGCCCTGGTTCAACCCCCAATACAAGTAAACCCTGGAGTCTCACGGTATCACTTTGGGCAGGTCGCTTCACATCCCCTCGCCTCAGTGTTCACAACTGCAAAAGCTGAGCTCTCCTCCTGTCTAAAACCATGAGAAGGCCGCTAGCTGCAACTGGAAGGCCTGTGGACCCTGGGACGTTGAGGGTGGGGTTCCCAAGGTTTCCTCCTTCAAAATCAGGAGGTGCCCATCAGCTGACTGGTGCCACAGCTCAGCACACATGCCACGTCGTTGTCATGAAGATCTGATCTTTGGGGTCTCTCTTCAGGCAAGCTGCTTTCTTCCCAAGAAGTTGTAAGAGAAAATGAGATGATGGACAAGACAAGTGCTTCACAAACCATAAAATGCAATACAAGCAGAGATGTGAAAAATGCTTCCCTTTACTTCCTTCCTGTCATCTTATCTCACATACACACCATCTCTGATTCAGGAAATTAAAGTACTACAGACAATGGCTTGCGAACTCAACTGGTGCTCAGCTCCCCCAAATTGTGACTTTATGGAAACTTAGGTCAAGTTGCCAAATCTTTGTATTTTTCAAGCCAAAGTCCTGGGTTTTTGTGTTCAGTAAACTGAATGTTAAATGTTTTTAAGACATGCTGGCCTTGAACTCACTGTGTTCAGGCTGGCCTCAAACTTGTGATTTACCTGCCTCAGTCTCCCAAATGCACTTTAAGTAAGCACCACACCTGTTGCTGATTTTTCAATCTTGACCATTAATTTATAACATTTGAAAATACTGCTCGCATCAAAGTAAAGTACCTGCAGGGCCAATTCAGGACCAGGCCACCAGTTTTTACTTCTGGATTAAAGAGACAATGGATCAAAGCCAGCCACTGTAGCAGATGCCTATAATCTCTGAGTAACATAATTTAAGACTCCATCTCAAAATAAATTATATATATATATTGTTTGTTTGTTTTGAGGTCTTATTATGTAGTCTAGGCTGGCCTCAAATTCATGGTAGTCCTTTTGTCTGACTCCCAAGTGCTGGGATTACAAATGTGTGTCACACCTGGATTTCAAAATAAATTTCTGAAGTGCTGGGTGACTGGGTCTGTAATCCCAGCATGTTCTGGGTGGTACATGCTTGTCATCCCTGCACTGGGAGGCTGAGGCAAAAGATGCACAAGTTTGGGGTTGGGGATTTAGCTCAGTGGTTAAGCGCCTGCCTTGCAAGCAGGTAGTTGTGAGTTCAATCCCCGGTACTGATAAAAAGGAAAAAGACAAAAAAAAAAAAAAAAAAAAAAAAAAGATGCACAAGTTCAAGTCCAATTTAGCAATTAGCAATTTAGCAAAATAGCGTACAGAATCTGAGTTGACTCTTTTCTTTAGTACCTCCAAAAAGGGAGAGCACAGGTGGGGCTAGGGATACAGCTCAGTGGTAACACTTTCTTAGCAAATCTAAGTCTAGGTTTTATCCCCAGCACCAAAATAATAATAAATTTAAAGATACTTAGGGGTTGGGGATTTAGCTCAGCGGCATAAGCGCCTGTCTGGCAAGCATGAGGTCATGAGTTCAATCCCCGGTACTTAAAAAAAAAAAAAAAAACTCACTCAACAAAGTTTCCAACAAAGTCTAGTGCAAGTTCTTACCTCAGCCCTGCCTTGTAAGAGGGAGCCCTTCTATAGGCTAGTTTAGGGCTATGGGGAACAAAGTATCAGCAGATGAAGCTGATGAAGGGCCAATGAGACTAGCCCCAGTGCAGGGCTTGTAGATCTTCTGTGACCCTCAAGGCTGCCACAGAGGCTTGTCCTGAGTTCATTTGGGGGCCTTAGACAATGTCTAGACTTTCACCCTTGCCTTGTCACTTTTGAGGTTGTCCCCCACACTCCTGAAAAATCTCTGGGTAGTGCTGGAAGCCCACAGGTGGGTCTAGGTCTCCAGGGCCAGGGGTCAGGAACATAGGCAACTCGCTGCCTCTCCTGCCCCTGTGGCCCCCGATTCTTGGCCGATGGACCCACTGGTGCTTGGCCATGGCTGACTTCTGGCTGAAGCACCTGCCACACTGAGGACAGGGGTAGGGGCGCTCGCCGCTGTGGGTACGCCTGTGGACTACCACTTCCGAGCTCTGTCGGAAGCAGCGCCCACAATCTGGGCAGAAATAGGGTTTCTCGCCTGTGTGGATGCGGACATGGCGCCTCAAGTCTGAGGAATGGGCAAAGGCACGACCACAGTCTGTGCAGGGGAAAGGGGTCTTGCCACTGTGTACCCGCTGGTGCTGGTGGAGAGCAGAGCTCTGGCGGAAGCAACGGCCACAGTCCACACAGCGGTAGGGCTTTTCACCAGTGTGGACCCGAAGGTGAGTGGTAAGAGCTGAGCGCTGTGTAAAGGCCCGACCACAATCAGGGCAGCAGTGGGGCCGTTCCCCTCGGTGGATGGCTCGGTGTTTGCTCAGGGATGAAGCCCGGCCCAAGCCCTTGCCACAATCAGGACACTGGAAAGGCTTCTCGCCTGTGTGCGTGTAGAGATGCTCCACTAGTGTGGAGCGCCAGGCAAAACTCTTTCCACACATATAGCAGCCATGACGCTGGTCTGCTCGTGGGACAGAAGGGTGGGCACGGAGTGGAGGGCGACCCCGATGATGTGCCTTGGAGGGTTGCTTCAAGCTATAAGGGAGGCCAGCAGAGGAGAACTGGGGGGCCTTCAGTCTAAGAGACCGGGAGTCCATAGAAAATGTCTTCTCCAGTACTTCAGTCACCTTCTTTTCTTTTTTCTCTTCCTTATTTCTAGAATCTGCTGGGAGATAAGAGGAGAGCTCAGACTCTGGTTTATCCTGGTCCTTAAATCCCAAACTCTGACATGGTAACAGACAGGCCCCTCAGACACAACCACCTTCTAGACCCAGAGGTACTCCTAGAATTTAGTGCAGTACAGTCAGGGAAGCTTGGAGTGACATCTTTTGCCAGCTGTAGAGACTGAAAGGAGGGAAAGAACAATATAATTAGGCCTCAGAAATGGAGAAATGGCATCAGTGAGAGAAGGGAGGTGACAACACCTGAGCTGTATCATGAAAAATGAGTGGACAACTAAGGATGTACCAAACCAAGCATGATCTCAACAGGCACTGAAAAATCCAGGAATGCTGGGCATTTTGCAAAGATTGACAGGAAGAACTGAAGGAAGAAAGCAGAAGGCAAGAGAAAGTAAACTGGAACACAGGAGGTGGCAAAGAAGCCAGTAATGTTGAAGGACAAATCAACAGAGCTTAGTAACCAACTAGGGGTGAGGAACTCACACAAGACTGCAGGATCAGGTAGACCCAGCAGAATCACAATTACACCCACTTTGTAGAATAAACCTTGAGGCCAGACTTAATGGCCTTAGTCAGGAAAGCAATTTAGAGAAGCAGGTAGGGGGAGCTGGCAGAGGGCATCACGATGTGCTAGGCACAGAGAAATCCCAACGGGCCCAAATACTCAGTAATTTCACCTGTGTCTGCTTCTGTCGGCCACTTGGCCACCTCTGGATCCTGGGCATCTGGATCCCACAGGTCAGCCTCTTCCTCCACCCAAGAGATCAGCGCTGGCTTGGTGCCTCCGCCTCCTAGGGGAGAAGAAGGGACACCCCCACGATGCCAGGAGGCCGCCCCATACGGTACCCCCTCTACGTGCAGGGCCCAGATCAGCCACGGGGTGTGGGCCAAGCGGGTGGGCAGGGCTCTCACCGAGCGCGCTCAGGAGGCTGTAGGTATCGCGCATCACGTCCCGGTACAGCGCTCTCTGCGCGGGGCGCAAACACCCCCACTCCTCCGAGGAGAAGTACACGGCCACATCGGCGAAGGTTACAGCCCAGGGCTCCCCGCACTTGGGCCCTAAGTGGTTCGAAGCCCGTGCAGGGAGCGGAGCCAAAGGTGGTGCCATGGGAACCACCAGCGCCGGCCTCAGGACACTCGCCTCTCCTATCGGGTCTGGTCACGCGCAGCAACTCACGCTCACGATCGTCCCCACCCCGGGCCTAGGGGTCGCAGGGCGGGCCTCAGGGCACAAGGGGGCAGAACTGGCCCTTTGAGGGCCCATTAGAATGGATCACAACTGAGGAGGGCAGAGAGTACATAATCAGAACTTAGGAAAAATGGCGGCAGCGCGGCATCTCGAGTTCTCTTTCCACGCAGTCGTGCCCATTGTGACGCCACCCTGGCTTCACGCTGTGCCTTCCCGCCCTCACCCAAAATGGCCGCGGCGGCTACACGCGCCAGTCTGAGACGACCGCGTCGGTGCACCGGGGTCGGGAGGAGGCGGGAACTTCTCTACGTGCGCGAGGCGGAGCTACGGTACAGCCCCACCCAGCTCCCAGCGGGAGGGGTCGGCTCGGGAGGCCCGAGCGGGCGGAGCCTTTGCGATTTGGCCGTTAATTTGCTTCTCTGGGCTGTTAAAAGTCCAGCTCCAGCCCATCGCTCTCTTGTTCGGTGCTCATTATCTCAAGATGGAGTAAATAAAACCAGTTTTGAGACTTGAACTTGGGGGGGGGGGTTCTACATTATGGAGACAGCGGGGGATTGGGGGAGACTAGGTTAGGGTGTGAGGACAAAAAGGTTTTTCTACAAGCTTACCTTCTCCCATGGAGGACACAAGAGGTCATTAAAAGCATCCCTTTCATTTTGTCACCTCTCAGTGCCTACTGTTTATCACCTGGACCAGAAATGCACAGGGTAAGACTTGAAGCTCTCTAGGAGGTCTGGACCCTCCTGGAAAGAAGCAAGGGCAGAAGTTCACATCCCTGGGGATTAGTCCCTGAGCATCCGGGGACAGGTGTAGGGGCCCTTGCTTGACCGGAAGCATGGAGGTATTCACTGTGACAGAAGTGGGTGCTGCCTCCAAAGAGTCACTCCCTGGAGTACACTGGGTCAGACTGAAGTTTTGGGAAAATATGACTGCAGATTGAAAAACTGAGACTTTTACATTCGATTTTAATGTGAGGAGGGGTGGAAACGTCATACCAGGTACCCTTCCTCAGTTTTAAGGATAGCCAGGTATTATTTGAAGACTCAGTAATGTTTTATTCAGTGGGGTTAAGTGCCCTTGACGTTGCGAGAAACAGAGTCCTTCCAGGTAAAATTATCAAACACATAAAGATTGCTTAATGTAGTGGTCAAGTGGGTCAGAATAAAATACTTAAGTGTGCACTTGAAAGGGACCTTTGACATCATATTGGTTTTTTGTTGTTGTTTTGGTTTGGTTTTTGTGGGGTTTTTTGTTTTTGTTTTGTTTTTTTTTTATATTGGGGTTGATGTCATTGGGATAAAGGAAGAAATGTTATTCTTTCAGACATGACAAGTAAATCATCTAGCAATGTATGCCTAGTTTTTGTTTTTGTTTTGTTCTGTGTGTTTTGTCTTTTGGGACAAGGTCTCACTATGTAGTTCACACTGGTCTTGAAGTCACTAGTTAGCCTGGCTTCAAACTCTCGGTGATCCTCCTACCTCAGCCTCCCAACTGCTTCCTGTCTCAGCCTCCAAGTGCTGGGATTACAGGCATGGGCCACCATGCCCTGCTAATGCCTAGTTTTTGTGCATACTTTACAAAGTGGAAAGTTAACGTTGAGCTACAGACTCCACTCAGCTGCAGTGTGCCTTTAAAAAAACATAGGCAAAATAACCATGATTCCCCACAGTCAGTTAGTTAAGACAGAATATCGCTATGTGGTTCATTGTTGCCTTAAACTATGTAAACCAGACTAGCCTCAGTGATCCTTCTGCCTCAAGCCTCCTGAGTACTGGGATTGTAGCCATGCATTGCTTACATTTTTAAGAAAAATTTCTGTTGTTGTTGTTACAAGGTAAGAAAGAATATTCAATAATGTCTCCTCCCACCTTATTCCTTTATTAATTAATCTATTTATTTTTGAGACAGAGTCTCACTATGCAGGTCAGGCTGGTCTTGAACTCACTATGTAGTCAGGCTGATCTCAGACTCATGGCAATCCTCCTGCCTCAGGCTTTCAAGTGGTGAGATTACAGGCATGCCCAGTCCTTAGCAGTTTCTGAAATACTCTCTAGAAAGAGTCTGTGGTATTTCCACACATTTAGAGGTGTTTAAAAGAGACATGCTACATGTTTGTAAAGCCAGCACTTGGAAGCCTGAGGCAGTAAGATTGCCATTACTTTGAGACAAGTCTGGTCTCTGTAATTGATTCAAGGTCAGCCTGAACTACATATTAATATCCTGTCTGAAAACTAAAACTAAAACAAAAAAACAAGATCCCGGGCCGTGCATCTTTCAGGGCCATACAGTTCACAATCATTTGAAAGAAAACTGATGTCTGTGTATTATTCAAGGTCAGGTGACCTATTAATGATTCCAGGCCTTCAGAGTCCTAAATATGAGCCCTTGCCAGTCACCTCCAACTGTCTTTCCCTGACCTGTTCCAGAAAGCAGAGTGAACATTTGGAATATACTGACCCCTGCTGACCATGTGAAAAGGAACTGGAATTTTTTTTTTCCTTAGGAAAGGATCTCTGCAGTTTAGGCGTTTTGTTTTTGTAATTGATACTAGATAGGTCAGACTCATGACTGGTGCTTCCCAGGCAGGTACTGTGCACTGAGCTATATCTCTGGCTCTTTAGGCTGTTGTAAACTCACTGAGTATCCTAGACTGCCGTAATTCTCCTGCCTCAGCCTCCCGAGTGCTGGGATTATAGGTATCTTGCCACTACACCTGGATGGAACTAGAATTTTAATTTATGAAGGTATTATTGGATTGAGAATGGAGCTCAAGGGTAGAATGTGTGCCACCTTAGGCCTGAGTGCAATCATCAGGCTTCAGGTTTTTTTTAAAAAATGATACTGGGTATGGTGGCACATGCCTATAATCCCAGCACTCAGGAAGATGAGGCAAGAGGATTACAGCAAGTTCAAGGCCAGCCTGGGCTACAGAGTAAGCTCAATACCAACTTGAACTACCCAGTGAGACCCCCATCTCAAAAATGAGTAAATAATTAAAAAGACAAACTATGACACTATAAAATATTAAATGAATTTCTAGATGACAGGGCTCATTTGTTTTAATGCTCCAGTTAAATGCGCCTCAAGAGTTCCCAATTCTAGGCTTTCCAAACAACAATGTGACAGAGTACACCCGAGCTCTGTAATTTTGTCAGGTAGGTAGATAGCCACCTTGAGGGCAAAGGGGTGGGCATGCTTTGCCAGCTATAGTTGAGTAAACAAAATACTTCAGTGGATAATAATTTATAATCGTTTGTTAGTTCTTAGACCCAAAGCCCAAAGCAATCCCACAGAACACAATAACATTTTAAGGTTACATACTAGGTACACTATCTTATGTGGTCACTGGGCTATTTCTCACAGTATACAGCATTGCTGGAAGCCACGGCCTATATCCAATGATATCAGAAAGGGGAGAATTCTTTTTTTTTTTTTTTTTGAGACAGGGTCTCACTTGTAGCCCAGGCTGGCCTCAAACTCATAGCAGTCCTCCTGCCACAGCCTCCCTGGTGTTAGGATCATAGCTGGGAGCATTCTTTAAAGACTCTCGCTCCTGGAGCTGAGACCTGATTGAGATTCCTGTATGATTAAGGTCCCTGAGGGAACACTGACCACTAAAAGAAACAAAGAAGACATTTTTGAAATATCAACAATCCAAAGTGAACCCTAACAAATGTGAATAAGCATTATAATCGCCATAGCTCCCTCAACCCCAGGAGTAACTTTTCTGTATATAAAAATTATCCAGACTCACATGGGTGCAAATGCCTTTAAGGTACTGCCTGCCTTCTTATTTGAAGGCGTAACTCTCTATATAGCTTTAAAAAAAAAAAAAAAAACAGTCTCTCTATGCAGTTCAGACTGGCCTTGAGCTCACTTTGTAGCCTAGACTGGTTTTGAACTTGCAACAATCCTCTTGCCTCAGCCTCCTGAGTGCTGGGATTATAGAAGTGTGCCACCATGCCCAGCTGCTATATATATCTTCTTTACAATAAATTCTACCCATACTTCTACATGGCTGCTCATATTTCATATATATATATTCATATATATATGATTTCATATATATATATATATATGAGAAAGAGAGAGAGAGACAGACTATATATACTCCAAACTGGGGATCAAACTCACAATGATCAGCTTACAGAGTGCCGGGGTTACAAGCATACAATGCAGCAACCTACATAACTCTCAAACTCCCAGGGTGAGGACCATGAAGGGCAGCAAGAAGGTGAAGAAATAAAGACAAAACACAAAAAGCTGGGATCAGGTGGAGGCCTCTTTCCTCATGGGAAGAAAGGAGCCGCTCAACCACCATAGCACCTTTATTTATACACTCGGGAAGATGATGTCAGTTCAACTTGTTTGCCTGGCTGGCCTGGGCACCTTGCTTTGTTGGAGCTGGAAGTTTGTTTATGTGGCTAGCACTGTTCTCAGGGCTGGCTTTGCTTTAGCTCCACTCATGTGGTCGATCTCCAGCTTCAGCCATTCCCTAGATCTCCTCCTTTTCTGTTGCACATGATGTTGGAGGAGTTGTGTTTGGAGAACTCCATAGAAGACTTTTTTCATTATTGAACTCTTTTTATTTTGAGTGAACTTACTGATTTAGGCTAAAGATATTGCAATCCAAGGATTTTAAGTCTGTATTCCACAGTTTAACCGTGTTTAGTCCATTAATTCATAACAGCAGTCAGTTACCAGTGTTAGTGATTTCAATTTCAATTTTATAGGTAGCATATTACTATGGCATTGGTTTCATACCTCTTGTAGTTATACTTTTCTGCAGGATGTTTAAGGCCAAGTTAAGGCGAAAACTGTATTAATTATAATCAATCTCTTGCTATGTATCAAGGTCAGTCAAGTTCCCTCAGGAAATATCTTGGAACAATATACAGCATCTCTTAGTACTTCTTGTCAGTGTCAGCCATCTGAATGAGTCATGGCCATTGCTTGACCACGTTGCTTTCTATGAAAGGTTAGGAGATTTTTTTCTCTCTTGGTGACTCTCAATAGATACACTATGTATCCTTGATCACTTGCTTCTGTGGTCCCACAATCTCCTTGGTCAGAAGATCGGGGACTCACTGAGTTACGGGATGTTGGAGCAGAGGCTGTCTTATGTTCCGGGTCCTCACTGACCTCAAAGGGCTGGGACCAGAATATTGGCTGTCCTGTTAGCCTGTCTATCTTTCTAGTTTTTGGTCTCAAACCTCGATTGTCAAACAT